TAAAGTCAAATATGTTTGCCTTGCACAATGAAGCGGCATGCATACACCGCGCACAGCTGAGGGGTGGAGCTCTGTTTGCATGCTTCTTATGATAATACATACAGGTTGGCTAGATAAGCAAACATGTACACACAATTATAATAGTTACTTGCAAACAATGATGCATTTTTCTTTTTGCAAATCGTAAAAAAAAAAGGCAGAGCGTAAACAAAAGTAGCCAAATCAATCATGCAGAAAATATCTGGAAAAAACACGAGAGGCCCGATAGCAGTAAAAGCCGCAGTTACGCTAATAAAACATATACACGGCAACAGAAACAAACAGACGCACTTTGCTTAACTTCCATAACGCGTTTTAGCCGCTCGGATCGCGTGACAGTCGCGTCGCGTGCAGAATGGATAACCTTAGCAGGAATATTTCACATTTCACTGCGCCCAGCCATTTTGGTCAGCAGCAAGCCTCCATTGGCATGTTTCTTTAAAAGCAGTTCACAAACAAGCGGAAAACACGGGCGGCGGCGAACACAGGCGAACAAAACGGCGTAACGAAAACGCGCCGTGTGGTTTTCCTGAGCCGTCCAAAGCCACAAAGAAGAAAATAGGAAATGTTAATACCCGAAAGCCCTGAACGCGATCCCTGTGTTGTCACGCAAGGCAGTCGACGACGATCCAGAGCTGTCGTTTTTCCTCTTCCTCCTCTTGTTGTGAGTGTAGGGCTGCACAGGAAGCGCCGCGTCGCTCTGCCGCCACCTGCCGCACCGGAGCGACGACTCCGACGAGATCTTCTATTCACGAGAGGATGAGTTACTCACAGGATGCTTCATTTTAGATTCTGCATCAAAACAAATTAAATTATATTCAAAGGTTTAAGTGTCATATTATATGCACACAAGCTACGGACAGTGTAGAAACGGCGATGAAAATGTTATGTCCCGAGCTCCTCCAACAATGTAAAAAAGTAATATAAGATTTAAACAATAAAACAAAAAAAGGAAGGAGAAGGCTGTATCCACACGTAAATCGAATATGATTTATACAAGAACAGAATGTAACATGTAATATTGTACAGTAAGATGAAATTAAACACGGTTTATTACGGTGATAACTATTTAGATAAAGAAAGAAATTGCAAGATGACATTCTGCATCAAACCAAATATAAAATGGTCTGTCACTATTTTATCTAAATATAACCCATTAAAGGTGGGGTAGGTAAGTTTGAGAAACCGGCTCGAGATACACTTTTTGTTATATTCCATGGAATGCTCTTAACATCCCGATAGCAATGAATATCTTAAGTGCTTTGACAAAAAATCCATAAAAAAATGTTCATCTGTGGAAGCCGTAATACTGTAAAAAGCACGACCAATCATTTTAGCCGGCCCGGCTAAAATAACTGGATGGCCTACCTGCCTGTCAGCCTTCCATCTGTTCACAAACTTATCTCGTGCCCTCATTGGTCATGTGCGCGTTCGTGTGTGTTGGAGGAGGGGCTCTGTAAGGAAGTGGCAGATTTTTTCCGGCTGTGTATTTTCAAATTCTAGCGCACTCGAGCTGGTTTCTCCAAAATTACCTACCCCACCTTTAAGTAAATCACAAATAAATTAAAACGTTTTATTTCAGTTGTTGACAGCAAATGTACTTGACTGAAGAACAAAGTGTGATTCATATTATTTTATGATTGCACATTTTGATTTAGCCCTTCATAAAGACTTAAAGGGGACCTATCATGCAAAATGCACTTTTGTACGTCTTTTATACATGAATATGTGTCCCTGGTGTTCCAGGGAACTCACCAAGTGTCAGAAAACACAACCCTCTCTATTTTCCTCCATACCCAAATCTCTAAAAAAGGGTCTGCAACGGATCTGATAAAAACTGATCCAGATTTGAACACTGTCCTGACGTCAGGACGGTGGCGCTACGGCTATTGGGCCAACTCCACCAATCAGGAGGAGACAACCACGGCCATTGCCGTTCGAAAGCGCTGGAGACGATGTAGTACATATGTCAGGCCTGTAGGTGGTGCTGTTCTCACTGAATCTGCCCTTGCAAAAACAGAGCTAAAAAATTTCAAATTGAGCGAAATGACGCATGGCTAAAATGCATGATCTGTTTGGTATTTTGAAAAAAAAAAAGGTATAAATATGCCTTATATAGGTATGGTCCTACACTATATTATTCAAATATAGCATGATAGGTCCACTTTAAATAAATTAAAATTGGAAGGTGTAATAGTAAACAACAAACTTTTCAATCTCATTAGAAACCTTTCAAAGTGATGAGACTAATTTCCCTTTTTTTTATATCCTATCTGCAAAACATTTCTTAAATGTAATTTAAAGATTTTGTTACTGCTTGACTTGCAACAAATAACTAGAAAATGCATTTCCTGCAGAAAATGCGTGCGAATGCTGTAAACTGTGAACATTTGTGGCTGAATTTAGCTGAAAATGCAGAAAAAGCTGAATATTTTATTAGCTGAATGGTAGCTGCTTTTAGCTACAGAAACCAAGTAAGTGTGTTGCTGAACTTAGCGGAGAAATGCAGAAAAGTGAAATGATTTGAATCAAATTGTTACAGCTCAAATGCATTGCAATGACTTCCATGTTAAAAAAAGACTTTAAAAAGCTGAATATTTTAAAAAGTATAACATATTTTGAAAGAGTTGAAAGTTTCCCATCATGTGCTGAAAAGGCTGAATAGTTTGATATTTGAATGGTTTCTGCAGCTGAAAGTAGGCTGAAGGAGTTCAGATATTAAAGATATTAAATGTAAGTAGTAGTGAAGGAATGTTTACAAACACCTGTGTGTGTAAGCCCAGAGATCAAAGGTTACCATGGAGACGACGTTATCAAAATACCTGTTTACGTCTTTCTGTCTGTCTGTGTGTATCTGTGTGTCTGTCTGTCTGCTCTGATTAGATGATGTCACTCAGGTTTGTGGCCCCAATCTGCTCAGCAACACCATGGCAACCAACTGCAGCACTGAGTGCCATTAAGAATGCATTGAGGATCATATCTGACCATTTTGCCACCTGTTCAAAAACTATGGCTCCTACCAAAAAAATTAACAGACCGTGAGCATCAGGGAACCCCAATGAACTGATTTTTGGGGGGTTTTGTGTGGTAAATGTGAAGATGAGAGCAGTTTGTCTAAAGTGTACTTCTCTCTGTTCTGAAGAAAGATCCGGATTTTTTTTACATAGGAGTCTAATGGGAGCTAGGTGGACTTTTTGTCTCTTCATGCCCTCAAGAGGCATTTTGTTTAATCTTTTTTCTTATTTTCCAACCTAGGAGAGGTTTTCCTACGTTTTTCATGAAAAATTATGTCTCAGGAGTGTAGGGTTTGGGAATTATGGCAGGTTTAAAAAAGTTTTGGGGAGAATTTCAAGCTGTCCTCCACTCTGTTTTGAGATCAAAGCACTCTAGACTTAACGAGCTGCTCCATCCACACTGATGTTAAAATCTGAAGAAAGCCTCTTTACCAAGCTCCAAACTAAGTTAAATATCTCAAAAAGTGTAAAAGATATCAACAATTTGAATAAGAATTGAGTAGCTGAAGGTCTTGTGATCATTTTAAAGTTGGAATGAAGTCTCTAGCTGAAAGTATGTGGAAGGAGAAGCATTTGGCGTAAGGTCTAGGTAAAAGAGGATTTGAAGGTTCCTCCCATTGACTTCCATGTTAAAAAAAAGAGTTTAAAAAGCAGAATATTTCAAAAAGTATGAAATATTTTGAAAAAGTTGAAAGTTTCCTATCGATTGCTGAAAAAGCTGAATAGTTGAATATTTGAATGGTTTTTGTAGCTGAAAGTAGGCTGAAGTTATGGAGAGCCAAAGTATTGGCTGAAATAAGGGGATTAAAGATTCGAAGATGCATATTACTGACAAATTACCTAATTAACTATTTTAGATTTGCATTTGATCTATTGGTGGTTTAATCTCTAATGCACATACCCTAAATGTGCTTAAATGATCAACAAAAATACAGTAAGTCCTCATATACTCAGTTTTTGGAAATAGGGTCGTCAAATTAAATAAAGATGACTGATTTTAATTTTGTTCTGACTTTTTTCTTGATCCACATCTTAATGAACATCTTTACTATCTCACATGCACCATTATCTTTTTAACCTATGGACTTGTGCACATCTTTGGTCAATAAAGTACATTCCTGCTCAATCCTGATTCCTGTAGAGCACTTCCGATATACAAAGCATTTATATCAAAGCATCTGTTGTATTTTTCACATTTTCTATCATTATTTTATTTTACATTATACCGCTCAACTTTTGTATTTATCTTTATGCACTAAATCACCAAGACAAATTCCTTTCATGTGCAAACCTGATTCTGATATTTGCATCGATCATATCTTACCCAGCAACAGAAACAGAGTGAGAGCTCTTCCTGTGTTCAGCTCTTTGATCCTCGCGGGCACACACGCACGTACACAGCAGGCGGAGCTCTGCAGCCCGCGTGCCTTCAACATAATTACCTATAGCTGTAACAATCCTGTCTTAATTACCCCAGGGCGCTTCTTCAAACAGAACAATTAAGCGATCCGAGCATTTCGTTTAATGAATAATAGACGGACTGCAATTTCCAAATTCAACCCCCTTCCATTAATATCATGATTTATTTTTTAAATGATTTCTGAGTTTATAGATTATAATAATCACATGTTGTACATCAGGTTATTTCAGTGCCTGAGGATAGGAAAACTGCTCATGCTCCAACAGTTAGGTTGTTGCATAGATTTGAGCTTATTTGGAGTTGATTCAAATATGAACAAAATAGACTACTTTAAAATGACTCGGTGCCCCATATCATTGCTTTTTAAATCATAATTTGTAAATGAACATAATATGAATCCACAGTATTTCAAGAGGCTTATTAAAAAAGGTCACAACTGGTTAGTGAAATTAGCAATTATCCCTCAAAACTAACTGACTCTTAAAAACGTATCAATACTCAATCAATGGGTCCAACGGTGACACAAGTTTCGGTACTGTGGTAAACATTTTATTATTTGAGAAGGACACGGCAAATTAAAAACAAATGCATTTGCCACTTTTATTTCACCACTTTGAGGAAAACATGGCTGTACAGGAACAAAACTCGGTTATTCAGATACAGTTGGACAGATGAGGGAGGCGTAAAGTTGACATGTTCGAGGTGGGCGGGGGGGTTACAGATCTCTCTTGGCTTTGCTTCTAATTTGGGCAGCGCTCGGCAGTCTGAGCCCTTTTTCTCCCAGTCACACAAACCTGGGACTTGCGTGGCAGCCGATCATCGACCCTGGTGAACATTCAACGCCCGCGCAGGCACATTAAAACATATTTCTTTCACCGAAATATTGATTCCTTGGCGTTTGCCAAAACAGACCCTATTTTAGGTGGAATCAATCGATGAGAAAACAATTAAAATGCTGAAATTATCTTTAAAAAAGGAAAATGCAATTCAAGTAGACGTGAGAAAAAATCAACCGTGAAAGATAATTTGCTATTCTCCTAGGAAAGCTTTGATATGTACAGAACCGAGCCGTAGTGATTTCTGTAGTGGCAAACCTGAAAATCATCATGTTGTTGGAGTGAGGCGATGCTTGCTGGCAAATGAACTTGGCACTTCTACAGCAAGGTTAAATAGTGTATGCTCCCTAACGTATACAGCCTACAGCGATTTCTGGAGTGATGGCTTTATTTCATAAATAAAACGTCGCTACAATAATTATTCTCAATAATCATAAAAATGCATCAAAGTCATAAGGCAGTGAAAGCAAACCGTTTGCTTGCCGCGCACACAGGGATTCGGCGTGCAGGCGGATCGAGAACCATTTTTATTTTTAATCGGACGGCTTTCAGTATAATCTTGCCGTTTGTTTGATAATGCAACGTTGCGTCCTTCTCATGCAAGATGCATTCATGTATTTTGCAGGTGATGGTTGCGACTAGCGGAGAGCTGCAGCATTCGGAGAGTAGGAGCCGTTCTAGTCTTCTGAGAGTCTCGGAGTATTATGTTGGAGGTGGATTCTGGGAGGTTGAACAGAAAACAGCCCTCAGTGTTACTCCTGGAAGAACAGAGAAACAGCAGTGAGTACATCATGAATATTTAATCACAGATGACCCTTCAGCCACAGTGCAAGCTGCCAAAGACTGGAAAAGACCCTGATAAATGTTTATGGCAATGTTACCACCATAAACAGATGCACAGAGGGACTACAAAGTCACAGAAATGCACACACAACATAGATACACACAGGCTTCAGGGTAAGGTTGAAACTAACAAACTAAATAGCTGCTCCCAGTGGGTCTACTATTCTACTGCCAATTCACAGCCGAGGAATAAAGCATAATTCTCTTATCTCCTACTATGTGCTTTGAATTGTAATAGTACTAGTAAACCATGCTTTAAAAATCCCAATGAATCTCATATGTGGCCTTCATAAAATAAAAATATTTGGAGAATTTGCAGCTCAACATGGAGGGATTCTAAATGTCAGCACTTTATGCAACATATAATTATTCTTTTATTTTAAACAATTGGAAATGTAGTTCATCTGATGGATGTGTTAAGTTATATAGACTTTGAGATTAGTTAGGGTTATTCATAAATGTTATGCGATGCAAAGGATATACTGAATCATGTGGCAAAAGAACACATGTGTTGCCATGTATTTGAAAAAGGATATTAAACGTATAGATGTGATTGACTGTGCAGCTTTCGAACCCACTGTAAAGCCCTCATTACGCATTACTTGAGTATCATTGCGTAATTCAGTAAACTAACGACACCTCTTACTGTATATGTTTTGTAGTTATATCATTTATTTTTTGAACTAGAAGTAATGTATTTTTAAAACAGGGATGTTGTGGATGTTGTTCCATAAATATAGTATTTCTGCTGATGAATTATTATCATGAGTGATCAGTTAGGGATGCTGACAGCCTGATGAAGGGAAGATGGCTTGAAATGTTTGGTTAATAAAGCTTGGTATGCTGAAGACCTGCTTTCATTTTGAAGGACTTGGAGCTCACGCAGGTCAGCACCTCGCTGCGTGTTTGTTCTCAAAGCAAGAAATTGTTTGATTTAAATGTTTACTCTTGACTACACTACTTAAATGTTGTTTCTGATACCGTTGACCCCCCAACACACTGTGTGTATCTACGGTGGACAAGCATCCAAAAGAACAGAAAAACCCATTCAGCATCCTGTTAATAGTGGTAGAAAAAGGAGTTCTGACAGAAATCAGACACGACTGAGAGCAAGGCCGCAGAAACAAAGCCAAGCATTCCCATGTGGTGAGTCACACAAGTACACACATGCATGCCCTTCATCCCAAACCCTGCGCCTTGGGATCTCTTAAGTTAAGAGCGAATGAAATAACAAGCTTCAGAGCCAAAAAGGTGAATTAGAATAAACTGGAGAAACCCAGTTTCCAGAGAAAAGGAGGCGAGGGTTTAACGAGATGCTGTGGGTGCCATGGAATGAGAGGTTCCCTCACGCAGCTCCACACCTGAAATAATCCTCACTACACTGCCAGCGGGCAAGTTGAAACACAAATGGCTGCATTTGTGAAGTTTTCAGTCACACAGGCAGAAGGACTGCTGACCTATTCATCCCCCCACCACAGAAAGGAAGAATGCAACTGAAAGAGCAATATGTCACAAATAGTTTGAAACACAAGTGTCCTAAAGAGACCGTTTTAACATGACAGGGATTCAGCTCATGCATGAACATTTCTCAGATTCATGTTGCTCATATTATTGGTATAAGTGGTCATGTATGGAGCTGCCCAGGTAAGGAATAGGATTTCTCTTGTTTGGACTGAGTTGAAAAAAAGACTAAAGCTTGTCTTTGTTCACTCGAGATCAGATTTCAGTCGATACGCTCCTCACAGTCTGCAGACAGACTGTGAGGAGCAGGAGCCGGTTCTGCCGGTATCTAATCGCTCATCACTGTCGGGGCCCTTTGTGAGGCGACACAATGTAAACAGAACAATGTTGATCAATGTTTTTACAGAATATTGCACGACATGCAGGTAAATCGTTTTCAACCTTACTAGTTTTTTTCTGTACTGTAAACACGTCTCCAGTTCCCACATGGTCTTATTTAGGGAAGCAGGTTTGACATGATTTAGTTAGTTTGTTTTAGAAAGCGACAACCCTATTGTCTGAACATAGGTGGGGGGGGGGGGGATTATCCATGTGCTCTGTCCACACAGCAGCTCTCTCTAAAAAGAAGCATTGTTTCTTTCCAGCAGGGGGGAGTGTTGCAGTCTTATTACAGGAGATTGCATGAGACTGCCAGGAGCTGTAAAGCGTTTTAAGCCTTGTCATTAGAGTGGAGACTATAATATCCGGTGTGTGCACATCAGCTGACCTTTTCCCTGCAGGGGGGGGGTGTGAAGCTGGGATGACAACAGCATGATGCATTAGCTGTGAGTGCTACAGGAGCAGGGCTGTCTGCAGCAGGGAGAAGAAGTGCTGATGGGAAAAGCAGCATGCCCAAGAATGGAGACCAGCTTGAAAAAGACCAGACTACAAACGGAGAGCCGGGACCAGGACTGGGACCTAGTGTTCTTACCTGGGTCAGTCCTCCCCCTCCTCTGGCGTGATCTCTGTCTCTTTATGAACCACTACTTTGGTCACTGACATGTCAGGATGCTGTTCTTTAGCCTCCTTTATGGCCTGAGCCAGAGCCTACATACGGGGGGGGGGGGGGGGGGGGGGGGGGGGGGGGTGCAGTGCCAGAAGGGGTCACCAGGGGGAGACAGAAAATGGGGAAGGCGGGAGGGAGGGAGCGGGGACGTTTGATTGTGAGTCAATATGCCAACAGGGAAGCCACTTTTAGTTACATTTGTCATACTTCAGTATTTGTTAATGTCACATCACAAGTTAATGTTTTTAAATATCTCATGCTAAGCCAGTCTGTGTAAGTACTGTACTGTGCTCGCAAAGTATAAGATAACGTCCTGAGGGCTCACTGACATTTGACTAACATATTTCTTGCTTGAGTCCTCTTATTGACTGAGAAATACAGTACAGATACAGAAGTATAATAAAGCAGGAACGTCATGGAAACGGACTGACCTCATCGTGGTCGATGTCTGAGTCTCCCGTGATGACGATCCTTTTCTCAATTCTCGTCTCCGATATTCCTCCTTTCACCATCTGGACAAGAGAGAGGAGAAAGACCACTTTAAAAATCAATGTATACATAAAAGATATGGAAACAAATATCATCGTTAAGCCTTATTAAACAAAGTTAAGTAGTACTACAATCAGGGTTCATACACTTTTTCACCAATGCTTCTCCATGACTTCTCCATGACCTTTACCTAATTTTCCATGACCAAAAACATTACTCTGTCTCAGCGGTACCACTGAAAATGGTTTATTTTAACATGGAACAGGAAAATAAGGTCTGAAACATGTTGTGCCTATCTAAAACAAATCAAATAATAGGCTTACTAGCTTCTACAGGCTAAAGCAACTAAAATCTCTCACCAGCAAAATACCTCGACAGTTAAATGCCATTTTACGTTTCATGACTATACGATACAGTATTTATTATCATTATAGTATTACTATTTTGGCGATTAGCTAAAATATAAATTATATTTGATGCAATTTTAGTCACATTTTCATGACTTTTCCAAAACTTTGGGAAAAATATTGTTTTCCATAACTTTTCCAGGGCCTGGAATTAGCATTTTGAATTTCCATGACTTTTCCAGGTTTGTAATGACCGTAAGAACCCTGGACAATGCTATCATTTTGAAGTCTAAATCCTTGACTTATGCTACAGATGTCAGGAGGGTTGTGTGTAAATGATGGTTGATTGACAGAAATGTTTAATTCATTCAAAGATCGGTTAAGCAGTTTAAAAGCAAACACTCACTGGTTGCAGCAATTGAGAATATATTTTTGGTTTTCCTATCTACCTTCAGCTTCTTTACTTTTGGACAGAAAGGAAAGGCATTGTAGGAGTGATCTTGAGAACTTATAGTGGGTATTTAAAAATATTTTCCGATGATTGTAGGAAAAAAGAAATCAGCAATAAAAGGACGTTTATTTCTGGTTATTTCACAAGTGAACACAACTATAATACGGACGTCTCAGGGGGCTGACAATGTGTCTCAAAGAGCACACACACTGCAGTCGTGTTTGCGGATTAAAGTGTGAAGAAACCAGGAGGGACAATAGATGACCTCTGACCTTTGTGATGTGTGTGGTTGTCGTGGTGCTGGTGGTTTCCGAGGTGATGGTCTGAGCACTCAGCAACACCCCAGGGTCTACGTCACCGTTAGTTTCACCCTGTTGATAAGACAAACACTCATTTTATATTTATACTCCAGATAAACAAACTACTATCTACTACAATCAGTGTGAATTGAATAGCCCGCGTTAAAGGATATGAGCCACTACAGGGAAGGGAAAACAGAGCATGGCCTCTTTAATATTATACACACAAACATATTAATTATGCTATACTAACTGCACTTTATTTTGTTATTATTTTATGTATGTATGAATGCTGCGTGTCTTTGTTGTTTGTTGTCTATTCTGAATGTTTTGATGGCACTTTAAAAAGAGTAGCTTTACTCTTCTCGTTGTATAATGACAATAAATGCTTCTATTCTATTCTATTAAACAGTAAAAGTGAATATTGAACTAACGATACATTCAACAGGACACAAACATGACTTTAACTTAAAGGTGGGGTAGGTAAGTTTGAGAAACCGGCTCGAGATACACTTTTTGTTATATTCCATGGAATGCTCTTAACATCCCGATAGCAATGAATATCTTAAGTGCTTTGACAAAAAATCCATAAAAAAATGTCATCTGTGGAAGCCGTAGTACTGTAAAAAGCACGACCAATCATCTGAGCCGGCCCGGCTAAAATAACTGGATGGCCTACCTGCCTGTCAGCCTTCCATCTGTGCACAAACTTATCTCGTGCCCTCATTGGTCATGTGCACGTTCGTGTGTGTTGGAGGAGGGGCTCTGTAAGGAAGTGGCAGATTTTCTCCGGTTGTGTATTTTCAAATTCTAGCGATCTCGAGCCGGTTTCTCCAAAATTACCTACCCCACCTTTAATGCTTATGCTATATGAATAAGCAATTAATACAAATCAATGATTGTTTCAGGGCAAATCAGATACTATTCTTTAATTAAGTTAATGTCAAATGACAGTAGCTTTCATTTCGTACCTCTGCAGACTCATAGGTGATCGTTTTTGTCTCTGTGTGGACAACAGGCACCTCTTTGGTTCCCACCTCGACGACATCGAGACTCTAATGGGCAAAAAGGGAAAAAGCCGGGCACAAATGAATGCATGCACAGGGGGTAGAGCGGCACCAAAACCATCTGTGCTTATTTATGTCTGACACAAAGTGTTGCTGTAGGTGTTCACTGTACGCCTTTGTACTAAAAATATCCCCACACTGTCATACAAGAAATTTGCTGCATGCTAATGAAGTAAGCCAAAGGCCATCATTGAAGGGCTTACATCTCTAAACGAGCATGCAGTCATGCATTAGTCCCTGAGCCAGTGAAGGAGTGGATGCTGGAGAATGCAAATCACAAGGTTTCGATCAAGAGTGAGCACCACATCATATTAGCAGGTCCCCCGAACAAACTATGAAGTTAGACGGGTATATCCATGCTTTTTGGTCGAGTTTTTGCCGTGATTATTAGTTGCAGATTGTGCCGGCAGGAGGGGGAGGTGGAGGTGAAGTTACAGGAGGAGGCTGAGCTGGAGCTGAAGCAGCGTTACCTCCCAGTGGGACACGGCTGGCGGAGGCACGTCGTGTGGGCGGGACTCCGGCTCTGGTTCCTCTGATTCACCATTCTTCAATACTTCAGCTTCATCCATTTCTTCTGGCGGCACAGTATCTTCTCTTACTTCTGAAAGCTTTTCATCATCACAGTCGTCTGCCAGTTTCACATTCAGCTCTTCTTCATGTTCCTCTTCCATTTCTTCCTTCTTTTCATCCATCTCTTCCTCTTCTGTTCCCTCCATTTCCTCTTCTGAGCTGTCCGCCTGTGCGTAGTGGAATTTCTCTTTTTCAAAGGACAGCGTTTTCACCATGTCTGGAAACATCTCTCGTTCTTCCTCCTGTGCATGTGAACATTCATCCTTCTCTTCATCCACTTCCTCAACACAATTTTCTACATCTGTTGGGAGCTTGTCTTCCTCGAAGTACTGCACTTCTTTGGAGAACTTGACTCTCTTGCCATCTACTTCTGTGTGCTTTCCCTCCCGTTCATTTTTACTTTCTGACTCTTCTTCCAAAGCCTCCAAACTACTTTCTGCTGCTTCCCCTTCATCGGGTTCGTCCTCTTTCAAGGTCAGTTTCTCTTCTTTTTCGCAATCTCTGATGTAGACAGGAGCCACAATGAATCTGGATCTATTGTTTTCCTGATTTGACATCAACGCCTCCTCCTCCACTCCTGCATCCTCTCCTTCCTCCTCTAAGACTTCCTCATTTCCCTTTTCTGCCGCTAAGGTCGGCTCTGGAGACTCTGTTGAAGCCCTACTGCCACAAACACTCCCATCTAACCCTACATGTGCTGCCTCTGTCTGATTTCCTGCTACCAGCTCCACAGATACACACTTTTGGAGCCGTTCAGTGCTTGAAATATCATTTTTTCCCGGTGCATCTTCCAGACTATAGTCACTAATATCCTCGTGCAACACAACTACATAATCTCCCACCCCCTCGGCTGTAGTTTGCTCTGCCTCTGAGGTCTGGATATTCACCGTTGGCCCCGTCGACTCGGCTGGTGCTGCCTCCGTCTCCGTGGCAACGACCGCCTTCTCCTGCGGTTCAGCGGATGCCTGTGAATGATAATTGAACCATTAGATGATGTTTTTGCTCCACTGTGACAAAAATAAAATCCATTCAGTATACAGGGCAGGTTTCACATCTCACCTGATAGAGAAAAGGGTTAAGAGGGTTATTAGGGATGTAACAATACGCATGATTGGAGATAACTCGAGATACTGGGTTTGTGATTTTCTCACAAATGCGTTTTACACAATGAGATTGAAGGCTGAAAATCTATCAGAGACAAACCTACAGAATCTATTACTATATTTTCTTCAAATTATAGAACATCCTTTTATTTTTGAGGTAGAACTATGCAAAGTAAAAAATGTTTTCTTTGTTAAAGTGAAAATATATTTTGTCTGTAACATAAAAAAAACTAGATTGCAAATTTGTGTAGTTTATTTTCTGATTAATCTAAACTAAAATGCTGCCAAATGTCCCAATTAAAACATGATGGCACATCCTCAATGTATACATCTTCACCTAGATACTCTGCATGTCTTTGCATCTTGATACAGATCATGACACGCATGATGAAACAAGTCAAAAGACAAATCCATTAAAATTTGAGTTGATGTGAATCGTTGCATATTTGTATTGCAAATTGACTGTCTTGTGAAGTATCGTTACATTCCTTTGTATTTTACATTTTCAGAATTGTACTATACATTGACACACAATAGGCACACATATTTAAATTCAATTAAAGGTAGGGTAGGTAAGTTTGAGAAACCGGCTCGAGGTCGCTAGAATTTGAAAATACACAACCGGAGAAAATCTGCCACTTCCTTACAGAGCCCCTCCTCCAACACACACGAACGCGCACATGACCAATGAGGGCACGAGATAAGTTTGTGAACAGATGGAAGGCTGACAGGCAGGTAGGCCATCCAGTTATTTTAGCCGGGCCGGCTAAAATGATTGGTCGTGCTTTTTACAGTATTACTGCTTCCACAGATGACATTTTTGTATGGATTTTTTGTCAAAGCACTTAAGATATTCATTGCTATCGGGATGTTAAGAGCATTCCATGGAATATAACAAAAAGTGTATCTCGAGCCGGTTTCTCAAACTTACCTACCCCACCTTTAAGGTTTCAGTTACACAAAAAAACAATGCAGTCTAAAAATCTGCGAGGACCAGAGAGGAGGGGTCACCTTTTCAGAGGAGGAAACCCATCCCAGCGTAGACTGACGGTACAGAGGGATGGACACAAACAGAGACAGGAAAAGAGAGGACAGTCAAAAGTCACAGTGAACACCAGACAAAGAGCAAAAGGAACGAGGGTGGAGAAATAAAGGGTTGGAAAAAGGGAATATTATGGATTGTATGGAATACCGGTGTTTAACAGCAAATATCCTCTAATCTGCTTTTGAAAAATAAGTCAGGTAGACCCATACAATGTGTTTTCTGACATGTTAGAGGGGCAGAGGGGGGTTTTGGAAGATGAGGTGGGGAAAAGCTGCAGCGATGGCACTTAGCCAAGAGCTATGAAGTCACTGCTTTCAGCAAACAGATAAGAGCTGAAAGAAAGAAATGGTGCAGCGGAGCAAAACGGTGAGAGCCAGCTGCTGAGGCAAGGTGAGCTGTTTTTAGCTGTCAACAAACTCAAAAACAAACCCAAAACAAAAGAAGCAGTGGGCCCGATTGCAACAGAAACCGGCGGTTTGGCGAGAGAGTAAACGCTGGGTGTTAAGGTTAGCCATGCAGAGCGTTTGGTTACACTGTTGTTAGACTGGTTTGGCTGCTGCTGGAGGGAAGGCAATGGGGAAGGCTGAGGGAGGTGTTGGTGGTGGAGAGATGGAGGGAGGCAGCCAAACCGACTTGTTGCTTTTAGGTTTCATACAGTACCACTGCTAAGGATGTAGGAGAGGATTCAGAAATGGTAATCAGGCCGGACTTTGACTGCTCCGTTTGGGCCTCTTCGAAGAAATCTGTCTGCTCCGTTTGGGCCTCTTCGAAGAACTCTGACTGCTCCGTTTGGGCCTCTTCGAAGAACTCTGACTGCTCCGTTTGGGTCTCTTCGAAGAACTCTGACCTTTTCGTTTGGACCACTTCGAAGGTCTTTGACTGCTCCGTTTGGGCCTCTTCGAAGGACTTTGACTGCTCCGTTTGGGCCTCTTCGAAGAACTCCGACTGCTCCCTTTTGACCTCTTCGAAGAACTCTGACCTTTTCGTTTGGACCTCTTCGAAGGACTTTGACTGCTCCGTTTGGGCCTCTTCGAAGAACTCCGACTGCTCCCTTTTGACCTCTTCGAAGAACTCTGACCTTTTCGTTTGGGCCTCTTCGAAGAACTTTGACTGCTCCGTTTGGGCCTCTTCGAAGAACTCTGACCTTTTCGTTTGGACCTCTTCGAAGGACTTTGACTGCTCCGTTTGGGCCTCTTCGAAGAACTCTGACCTTTTCGTTTGGACCTCTTCGAAGGACTTTGACAGCTCTGTTTGGCCCTGTTCGAAGATGAATATTTCTGCTTCCTGGTTTATGCCGTTAGTCATCTCTTTTACTCCATTTGTCACACTGATGACCTCTGAAGCCTCGGTCTTCACCTCCTCAGATATCCAGGATGCCATGGCCTTTTTAGGCGAGTCGATACCTTTAATCTGAGTCATGTCTTCAGTTTTTATCTCGATCCTCAGGCGCTGCGTCTTGTCTTCTGCATTTTTTGCATCTATACCTACAGAAGTGTCTTCTTTTATGGTTCCTTTCTCTTTAGATGCAGATAGCATTTCATTCTCCTCAGCTTCATCCTCTTCAGGAATGATGGGCTCTTCTTCTTCATCAACAGGTCTCATCTCTTTGCCCTCTGTGTCCTCCGCATCTTTCAAAATAATGAGCATCCCTTTCTTGTCACTGATGGCCTGGGACACTTCCTGTCTGACAGCTCCGGGGCTGACCTTCAGCTCCGCCCTCTCCGACAGCTCCTCCTGAGAGTCGGGGGTTTTCTCGTCCACCTCTCTGAGGGTCCCGTCCATGAAGACGTCGTCGTCCATCGTGGTTGACACACTAAGACCGTGAGGCCCTGAGGAAGTGGCCAAATCTGTCGCCATACTATCCACCACGTATTTCACCAGATATCTTGCCGCCTGAGGAGACACTTGGCTTATTGGACATGGGTCGTTCAAGTTAATAGACAGAGGGCATCACAAAGGCCAAGACAGCGAGAGTAAGCTCAAGAGACTATTTATCAAGAGATGACACACACACAGACTGAGCTCCATTAATACTTGGACAAAGATGCACTGTTTGGATGTAATGTTTAACCTTGTTTCTCTGATCTTTTTATGGACTGTCTTTGTATTAAGTTAAGACAGTGTTACTTACATTTATTTTGGAACCTTTATGACCAAATAAATGTCTTCTTCTGGATTTTAAAGTTATATTTAATATGATTTATATCAGATATGTATTTTTAGGACTAGAATTACTCTAAAAAGCGATACAGACCGATGAGAAAAAGCTGAATTAAGCACAAAAATGGGAAAACTATAAATGTGAAGTAGTGAAAATACCAAAAACTGTGCCAGTGTCCAGATACGTCTGGAGCTAGGTACAAACAGAGGGCAAAACACCACATTCACAAAATACAAGTTTTCTTCCATGTGAAACAAAAAAGGGAAGAAGTTTACCTCGGCGAGTGTAGGATCCACCTCCCCTTTTGTCTCTTCTCCTGCAGGCAGCTCGTCTTGAGTCTAAAGGAGGAAGACATTTAAAAATGATTAATAAGTTCACACAAATTGATACAGGCCGTGTCCAGTGTGACCACATGATCAAATGGACATCCAGATCCTGAAACTCTTCCAGGAGACCAGCATCTTGTTATTTCAGTAATTAGTCGTCAGAGGATTTGCCGCTCATTTGTCCTGCGTTAGTTCGTCAGATTATGTTCGACAACACAAGGAGAAACTCTAATAAAACTGCTCCTAACTCCAGCATGTCATGATGTCACTAAGCACAACAATCGTATTATTGATTAATGACTGCATCAACCAAGACAACAAGAGATAAATAAATATGTAAATAAGCTCCTAATGATGAGTAATAGAGAGAAACCATATGGCGGTCGTCACAGAGCGACACATTTATTTGCTCAATAACTTTAAATGACTCCCCAGATAAAAGTCTCAAGTGCTTCATTGATATGCACTAGAGACATTTGGAGTATAAAATATATTGCACCAGACTCATTTTGATGTAGAAAATATATCTCTCTAGCCCCGTTATGATTACTGAATTTACTGCACTATGACTCGTTATGCAAACACTGGGGATGGATGTGTTTGTTTTGGTAAAGGTCTCCTTGGTGATGTCATGCTTCACACACAAACACGGCGTCATTCAGTCGGCTTCAGCAGCTTACGTCCTCCGGCTCCAGCGGCACTATCATCGGGGGTTCGTCCGCTCTGGGTGAGCGTGCCGGGGACGAGGAGAGTCTCTTCTCCCATTCGGTCAGGCCCGAAGAAGTGTCCCCCGTCTCCAGGAAGGAGCGCTTCAGCTCGCTGATGTTGGTCTGGTGCTTGACCATCTCTTCCGGAGGCGAGGCGTCCTAGAGTAACCGGTCAACCATGACACAAGGAGATGAGGCCAGGAGAAGCGCGAAGGGGAACGACGGCCATGCTTTATGTACGCAACGATAGCTTGCAATAACCAATGGTTTACCATAAAAACGTTGGGAAGCATAAAATGCAGCTTGGAAAAAGTCTTGATAAATCAATGCAGACTTTAATGAATTGCATTTTAAGCTTCATTATTCACGTTTAATGTCCACAGTACGCACAGCAACACTATGGCAAAATGCTCACTCACATGGCAGCTGTAACTAAGAGAGAAGCAGCTTGTACTTAAATGCTAAGAGAGCATTTAGGACCAGCTTAATCCAATGAAAATGAAGGATTTCATGCATAGTTTACAAGTTTAGTTAAGCACAACACTCCCAAATCTCATTAGAAGTTAAGACCTCTGCAAACTCTGACTTAATGCAGTTTGATTTGTGTCACTTTATTTATCAAAAAAGTTAATTTGGATGCTCACAGCAAGAAATCTGTTAGATAAAAACGTACTAGAACTATTCACACAGGGACTCCAGAAGACAATTGGCAGAGCTACTGGTATGTTAGACCTATTTGTTATCAGTTAGGATCCTTTAAAGGAAGAGTACCTGCATGCACATTTCAGTCATGCATCTTACCAACCTCTAGCATCAGATTACTATGCCTGATAAATACGTTTTCCCCTTTTACTCGTCTTATGAAACTATACTGTAAAGACAAAAGAGGGGAGATGAATTGTAGTTAAAAGGTGTTTTGTATAGTTAATTTAGACTTGTTGTTGTGGAGATATTGGGAGCTTTGTCTTCAACTATATGCCAACAAATGATATGATGACACAACTCACTGTTAAAGCAAATGAGAAAAAAAAACCTTGAACAAATGTGAAATTTGACTCATGGGTTCAGCAATGGGAAAAGAAACATGAAACCATCATTTACAAACAATAGCATTTGAAAATGAGCTGGAATGGCTTTACAGCAGCAGTCTGTGAAGTGAAACCAGGCAAGAGTGAATGGTCAGTCTGGTGTGTGGTGTGATGGTGAGCAACAGAAGTGGCAGCAAGCAAGCCAGCGGGTGGAGAGAGGGCACAAAGTGACTGATGTCTGAGCGGCTCAGTGCATATGGAGGCGGGGATGGAGTGATGCACTGAGCAGGGCCATGAAGCGAGCCCAGTGTACCTGAGTGGGCATCTCAGAGTCCTCATCTGCGTCCGACTGACAGCCAGCAAAGAGGGGAGGACAGAGAGTGTTATTAAAAGAGAGGAAACACAGAACGGTGAATCAGGGGAAAGAGAAAGTGAGCAACAAGAATTGGCAAGCAGAGAAATAAGAGAGGGTAAGAAGGGTGGTGGGATTCAATAGAGTAAAGCATTTTGTGACAGAAATTCGCTAAACCCCTGTCCAGTAGCATAAGCAACCGTGACTAGGCACTTCAGGCCTGTCAAGCTTTACATTTCTCCACAGAGGTATTATAACAGGGATGCTTTCCAAAAGCAAAAGCGTCAGGTGCTGTAACGATACCCCGCCATCTTTAAGCCTGTGCAGCTAATTAGTTTACCACCTACAGTCGAGTGTTGCTTTCAAAGCCAAGGAGTCAACCAGCAGCTAAACTGCATATGTTTCATGGGTTATGTTGTGTGAATTCACACCAGAGCTCAATGTTACCAGAGATAGCATTACATTTGCAGTCTTTTCTCGAAATACCTTTGACTTGAACCCTTTTTAAGTAAAGAAATGTAAAGTTTAGACCAATAAGTGTGGAAGCTGAGCATCAACTTCTGTTGATAAAATGAAATTATAGGCTGATCTAACGGTTTTAAAATGTATTGAATGTATTTAGCGTGCTATCAAAGGCGTATTTCATAACCCTTTCACAAGATTCTTAACAAAATGGAAGCTTGACGGGTGAAGAAACTACAGGGGTGAGGTTTAGGAAATAGTATATAGAGAACTTAAGTGGAACAGCCTGGGATTCACAACATGACTTTGGCTTGTTAATAAGAAAGCTAGCCAATGGAATAGACATTCAAATACATATAAAGTGTGTTTACAAATATAAAAGAGAAAGGAAAGATCAAAATAGGCATATCAAGATGCATTGCATGCGTCACATGCAGAAGTACACAAATTCTCCTTATTGTTTCAATAAGCATTACATCTCTGATTCAGCAACACTTTATTCCTCTGCTCCATCAGTACTTGGTTCATGCCTTAAGTATGACGCCTTCCCTTAATGTACAAACCTCCGTGGCGGTCATATCTTCATCAAAGGCAAAGTCGGTTTGTTCGCTGTCAGTCTGCGTTCACAAACCGACCAAAACCGTTCCGATTGGCAAGCAAGAAAACAACAAGAACCCAAACTGTAAACCCTTTAAGATGCATTGATCGTCAACAGAGATTCTTCATAACCACAGATGGAACGAATGGAAATGCTCTGGCTGTTTCTGTAAGCTACACACACACACACATATCAGACAACCTACAGATACGCTTAGGAAAAGAACAAAAAGAAAGAAAGAATAAAAAGCAAATGAAAAGTAAGCAAGCAAAACAGACTCAGAGGAAGTTGAAACCTTCGGTCAGTCACTTGGACATCTAAAAGTCATATATCATTTGCTTTGGATTTGGATACGGTTGAATCCTGGTATATTTTTCTAGGTAAAGCATTCTCTGTGTTGTCGCTGGTCAAATTAGATTTGACGAACAGTAACCTGACTTTCAGGCCCTCCTCCCTCCTCTCCATGCATGTTGAAACTGAGGATGATTTGGATGCATCTAACTGTCACCGTCTCTCTGCAACCCAGCATGCATTACTCTGTGATACAAAAGGGTGTCGCTTGAGGGGGGGGACAAAAAAACATCTCTGCACTTTACAGTGGGCTAATTTTAGCCCTTTTCAGCAGAAGTTCTATTTAAATCATTCATTTCAATTTGTGCTGCTTTGCTTGACTCGGATAGTAATGCAGAGAGACTGAGTGCATGGTTACATGGAGGTGTTTTCATGCAGCTGGTGGAGCTCTTAACAGTCATGAAGGTTGATGATAACACTGATATGGGTTAGGCACAAAGCTTAAATGTTTGTTTTTAATATGAGGCTTGGTGAGAGATTAGTGACTAAATGAAGACAGGTGAGTTCTTCAAATCCTCATTATATCTCTATCAAATGTTAAAATATGTTTACAAAGAACTGCAACATGACAGTGATATTAATGAATGGTGATTTGTTAGTGATGATGCAAGCAAGTAAATGCAAGCTGATTACATATGAAACTATGACACTTGCAACTTCATCTCTGTGTGATGCAGATGAGGATGTTCCTACAGGATGAGAGTGAGACGGGACAGAGATGAGGTTCTGAAAGTAGGACAACTGACAGACACTGGGACACACACAGTCTCCAGGTCGGCGAGATACAGGACGGGATAAGGGTTTAACTGTTTAATGAACTATCAGTCTAAGCCAGAGGCGGGCCCTGGAACAAACGTACGCACACACACCTCCTCTTCCTCTGAACTGTCATGGTCATGGTAGCCGTGGGCTATGGATGCGGTCAGGGAGGCTGCCTTGGGCTCCAGGTAGCAGAGGCACAGCGCCAGGGGGAAGGAGAGGGAGATGGCGTACGGGACGGAAAACGAAGTGGACAGCAGGAAGAAGAAGATGAAGAGGAAGCAGGGGATGAGCGAGGGTGACTTAATGGGCATGAAGTTCTGCGCGCACATGGGGAGGAAGCGCATCTCGGACAGATCGGGGAAGGAGATGTATCCGTCCTCGTCCAGGTAGGAGGACAGGTCGGGCAGGTGCAGGGAGAAGGAGAACAGCATGCCGCCGCGCCTCTTGCCCTGCTCCAGCCTCTGCTTTCGGGCAGAGAGCAGCAGCACCTGCTCGTCCAGCAGCGCGGTTTTACGGTCGTCGAGGGCTTGGCGGCGGCGGCAACTGTCGCCGCTCTTGGCCGGACTGACCGACGACGCCCGTTTACGCGCGCCCTCCCTGCGCCTCCGCCGTACTTTGACGGATGAAACGGGAGATGAGGGGAGGGAGAGCTCGGAGCGGAGGGGGTCGCTCGAGTAAACATGAGGGGAGCACTGATGGAGGGAAAATGTCAACGAAGGGATGACGTGTGTGCGTAAATGGAGTGGAGCGAGAAAGGGAAGGAGACGAATACGCATGAGCACACACACGAGTGTATTGTGGGGTCAAAGGAAAGACAAGAAAAGAAAATCTAATTAGTAAAGCGCACACAAGATGAGAAGAAGCACTCTAGTCTGCTGCAGAGGGTTAAGCTGAAAGCAACTGGGAAATTATCATCAGCCATTAAGAAGTCTATTAAGAAAGAAAATAAAAGATCTCAAACAAGGATTTAAAAAGATTGCAGCAACAACCTGGTGGCATATCTGACACATTTCATCTCTTTGAACCAATCACAATCAAAGCCTCTTAAAGCTTCTTTATCCACATTAAATGCAGCTCTGAGCCTGTTAGACAGCGCTTTACCTTTGTGTCGTGTCTGAGCGGTGTGGAGGGCTCTGCCGTCTCTGCAGCCATCTGAGTGTCTTCCTGCTCCGCCTTCTCTTCCTCGGCCTTCTTCTCCGTCACTGCGGCGATGATGTCTCCCTTGGCAATGACTTTGGAAACCCCGTCAGCAGCGCTGTCCTTCATCAGAGTCTCATGGCTCTCCGTGATGGGTGCTGCGGGACAGGAAGATGGATGTGACACGTTTTTAAATGTGACACCTGTGGTCCGGTTTGAAGTCAAAGGAAAAATGTGAGCGGTGGAATAAAGGGTTTGGTTTTTTCCTGCACATTGTTGTTATAATACCTATTGTGGCTCTGTCAGTGCACCACAAAAGTGTGCCAGATATTTTATCTTTGCAGGCTTTCAGACAAAGCACATTTTTCTTTCTTACAAAGGCTTCTGTCATTTTTGCACGTCAGAAAAAGTACTGTAGAAGCAGTTTTCTTTTAGTGAGAAAAAAAGTGTCCCTTAAAGGTCCCCTATTATACTCTTTTCCATCAATATATTATAGGTCTCAGTTATATACAAACATGTCTCTGAAGTGTTTGACTCCAAACACCAAACAGATCATTGCAGCATCCCATAATCCCCTCTGTTTCAGCCCTGTTTCAAAAGTGCTGATTCTCTGTCTGTTACTTTAGATGAAAATAAGGAGCCACTCCACACGCCCCTCTGAGAGATATTTGGTTAAGGCAAGGCAAGTTTATTTATATAGCACCTTTCAGCACGCGACAATTCAAAGTGAACACAACACATTGTGTTCTTAAAAAGAACACAATGTGTTGTGCTCTAGGAGGAGATTCAGGTGATAAGGTGGGGGGGTTACCTTGGTTGGTGATTGGCTAATGGTTAACCAGTTGAGCCCCAAGCCTGTTTTGCAGGTGTCAGGCTCGAAAATGACATGCCCAGAACAAATGACTATATCTTCACTTCTAAAAGGGGTAAATTAATAATCTTTTTTCTCAAAGCAATGATAAACCTGTGAGTTTGATGTAGAAAAGTCAGAATCAATATAGAATTTTTTTATTTTAAAGTAAATTCAGATTGAACATAGTAAAAAAAATGTAAATTATAGTGTCCGTCCAAAGTAAACCATTACTTATAGTGAAAACCACCCTTGAATGATGGGATAGTAGACTAAAAGCTTTAGGAATCCAAACTATAACATATAATAAGTACCCTGTATCAAGATTGATGCAAAACAAGTGACATTTGACCTTTTTAGAGAGATTTAGCTAAAAGAAAACCACTTCTGGGGTCATTTGGGTGGATTTGCCATAGCTCTGGAACCCATCGGTCGATTTTGATGATTGACATCTCTTTTGAACCGTTAGAGCCAATAGAATCGAGGGGAAGTTCCTAAAATCCATCTAAACATGGCCATTGAGGAGTGAGAGTGATGCGCACGCAGTTTGCCCAAAACCGGAAGCTGGGTTGTAGCTATCATCAGCTAATATGAAATCTCTGTTTTTGACAAAAATGTAATGATGGATTATCAGTAATCATTTAAAATGCGGCTTTCACACCAGCGCTTTTCCCTTTCTAGCTCCTAGCTAGAGCTTTTCTGGTTCAGCTCCGGTTTCCCTTTTCAGCTCCCGCTCTGTTCACACCGCCCAGCTGCCGCTGCTGCGTCATGACGTCACCGTTTACATCGCTGATTTTCTCCCCAACGGAGCTCACAACAACAACAACGGGGGGAGACTGCGTCGGGTCGATGATCGTGTTGCTTTTAATCATACGAAGCCAGATTAAATTAAATAACGACTTCTCCAACCTTATACTTTTCTCCAGAGTGCCGTGGTTCATTGTTTATTAATGTGTTTCAGCGGCATTTACCGACCGCTGCAGTGCTGCTCTTCCACGGGAGTTTATTCTCCCGTTAGCTCCGGGTTAGCTCACACGGCTCTAAAGTATTCACTGTCTGACTGTCACACAAGCAGCTGATACATATCCCCAGTTCCCCTTAAGTGAATGTGTGTCAGTCTGAATTGACGCTGTTTGGCATCACAACGCTGTTATGAAAGTTTCTCTGGTATAACATGGGTGATGTTAGCATAGCAACCGAAGCTAAACGGACTACTTGCTAAGCCGTTTTCTACAGGCACTTTTTACCGGCGTATTTTTCATTATGATTCTACTTGTGATAGTCGGACATGACAACCTGGGTCGACTGAAGAGTCTCGTCATGCCTGCCTACAAGCAGTAGCGCTGAGCAAAGTGACTAGAAGGCAACCACACACTTATAAAAAAACACACACTTTATAAAGTCAGGCAACACTAACCAGGCTTCGTGTGATTCTGTTTATTTGTACCTTACTTTGACCATCCGTTCGCTGTTATTGATCATTGTGGAGAGCAGGCAGACGTTTTGTTTGTTATTATAGCAGCTATCGGATGGAATCAATACATGGGCTGCACAGGTTCAGGGGAGGTGGGTTTAGTTTCCTGCACGCCTCGACGTAAGTGAGACGTAAGCGACGCCGCGTCATAGCTCCGAACCTCTTGCCTCTGGACCGACACATTTTTGGAGCTGGAAGTGAACCGCATTCCGGAGCTATGACGCGCCGCCGCTGCGGTGTGAACAGGAAAAACCGGCGCTTTTCAGGCTCTAGCTCCGAGCCGGAGCTGGAAAAGCGCCGGTGTGAAAGGGGCAAGAGTGACACAGACACATTGGATTAACCTATGGATTAACCTTCAGCAGGGTTTTTATCGTTTTAATGCCATTGAACACAACTTTTGATCAGAAAAACCGCAAAGGTAAGACATATTTGCCGTTTTGGCTCCGTAAAGCTAAGTTCGCTCTTGTCTGGTTTCGCCTTCGCTGCCTGAGTTTTGCTCAGTGATGATACTTATACCTCTAGAATCTGTGGAATCTCAGCTTTATTTTGATATCTTGTTTGTGCAGATCTGATAAGTAATAAAGTATTTCTACCGTGAGTTCTGTGCTAAGTGCGTTAGCATCTTTTCGCTCAGGGCTAATTCAGAGGCTTGTCATTACCCTTGTGTTTTGTTTAGCTAAAAATGGTTCATATCGTCAGTTAGCTGAGTTTCTTCCCGTTAAGTGGGTATGACACATTCATAGTTTGTTAAATGTTAAGAAGCCCTCAGACGCTGTTTCTTGCAAGATGTTGCGTTTTTAACTTTTTAAACAAGCCAAAAAATCATGATGACATCATAAAGTGGCCAAAATCTGAACAGCTCATTTTCAGACAGGTTTTTATATAAATGGATCAGGACAAAAAGAGAGTGAATCTTTTTTCCTGAAACTTTCAGAATCTCTTTAAACAGAGGGGACACATGTTGATGTATAAAAGACATGAACAAGTGGATTTTGCATAATAGGCAGTGGCGTTTTTATATGTACAAAAGTGGTGGGGCACAAAAAACTTAGATGTCTATATATAAGCTTCTGCAGTGACGTGCAGTGAGGTTCATGGCTGGTGAGGCACTGGCACTGACTCTTCAGGTTTACAAATATTATATTTTGACCTAAACCAAAATATAATATTATTTTCAAAAGCTTTTTTTGTCTGATGCTTCGATTAATTTTAAACAGACAGTTCAACAAAAGGATACCCAAAAAATGTCATTTTATCATTTAAATATTGAATTGTTCTCTCTTAGTAAGATCCCATTTTCAATAAAATGGCGGTCTTACCTTGACTTGAAGATGAAGTCCATTTGCCTATCCTTCTGGACAAACATTTCTATTACTTTTTTGTAAAAGTCCTCCTTATGTTCTTGTAGTTTCAAAAGTCTATCATAAATCTAATCCATAGATTTATGATAAAAAAATTATAAAAGTAGGGTAGACATGTGGATGTTATCCGGCTGATCAAAACGTGCATTTATCTAACAGGTACGTTTCCCACAGATCTTATTTCGAGCTATTTTCTAAAATCCTCTGGAGAAATCTCATTGCTTTTTTGTGCTTACTTCCTGGTTTTAGGACGCGCCACTGCAGCTCTCTCGTCTCCTCTTCACACAGCACACTTTTCGCGGCACACATACTTACAGCCAATCAGCTCTGAATGATTTGAGATGACGTATGGTGGGGATGGTAGCTCCATGCCCCTCTGGTCATTATTTTTTTGCCACACACATTTCATTACAAAATACTCTGAGCATGCGCAGTGTAGTTTTTACAGTCACCGTTCACTTAGACAGTGAGAGGGAGGGGCATAATCAGGTTTTGTCCCACATGGCTCTAAACAGCTCAATAGGCACACACTGTGACTGTAGACACACTAATTAGAAGAACACAGACTAAAACAGCAATGTACAGACGAATCAGATGATTAAACATGATCTTAAAATATATTTTATATATTTTTTTATTTATTTTTTTGCATTTTTGTAATCATTATTTGTAATACTTTCTGCTGACACTAGGTGGGGCTGTGCCCCACCTGCCCCTAATGACCAGTCGCCACTGATAATAGGTGACCTTTAACAAGTTCAGAAAACCCACAATAAGCAATAATCTAAAATTAGGAACATCACAAATGTAAAAGGTGTGCAGTAAACTGGAATAAACGGAATAAAATGCTACTTGGGTGGCACTTTAGCCGGCAATTAATGAAACCTCTCAGCTGCTCCTCACCTCCGTCTAAGCTGCGGGACATGTTGTAGCGTTTGCTGGCGGAGCGTTCGAACAGCGGCGCCGGCCTTTGGATCTGAGAGCTCGCCCTGCGGGTCTGAGCCTGCGTTCTGCCGCTGTAGCGAAACTTGGAGCCGAGGCTCATGAACTTCTTCGGTGGTGCCTCGGGGGATACGAGCCTGTCACAAGGTACAAACATTCACATTCATCAAAACTGAAATAACACAGATTTAAGCTGCGCAAAGTAAAACACAACAACTCCTACTCATTTGAATATTCTCAAGAGGGCCCTCAGGCATGGCTCGCTTTTTAAAAAGAACCTAAGGGAGCTGTTCTTTTGCTTTAAGAAGCACAAAGATAGATTAAATGTTGCCAAAATGACAACAACTTACAGTCCAAACACTGTTTCTATTACACTACAAATAAATCACCTATTGGGATTATCAGTAAACATATCTTTACAGAACTAGCATGACAGTTACCAATAAACAAGAAAATACTGCAAAGTCGTTTCTGTTCGCGAGTCCCGTTATGGACACGATACTGTCTCTTTTGTGCCAAGGGAGATGTTTTGTAATCACTTATCGGTAGTGAACATACACCTGACACCAGAACAAGTCAATATAATGACATTTATGGAAAATTAGATGTTATTTTCTAAATAATAAGATACCTACAGCAGTTTCAAAGTTATTTTCTACCCCAGCCAAAGACCCTCTGTTTTTCTTACCTGAAGAAGGTGTGGTGCTCCACACAGACCTTCCACAGCCGCTTTGCAGCGCGATGATTTGGGAGCTTGAAACCGATTGTGCTTTCAAACTGCTCAAACTGCAAAAGAGACAAAACACTCGTCACATTCACTACACACTATTTTAATATATTTTATTAATATAAATTATATTGTTTCTAAGTAATATTTTCAAAATGTAAATCTGCAAAAAAGTAACTCCTTGTTTCCAACACATTTAATTATCCCCCGAATCCATATTCCTATCCAATTTTAAAGCTTTACTGAATTATAACAGCTGTACAGTGCCAATAAAGTTGATTTAAGTTGACACTTAACGGTCAGGACATTCTATACAGGAATAGGACAGGAAGTTTAGAACTTGCTTAGTTTATTCTGCATGTCTTGAAATCCATATAATACATGGAGGAACAGTTATTTTCCGACACTCTTATGTTCTTACCTCGCCAGGACGGATTTTGATGTAGAAGTTGTTCCTCTTGTAGGAGATCTTGAGGATTTTGGGCCAGGCGAACCTGTTGATCCGCAACCTGTCCCTGTAGATGAGCAAGCCACTAGAACAGACTCCCAACATGATTTCCACGCCTTCAGAGTCCTGGGAACAAGAGACAACCAAGAGAAATTGCACAAAAAAGAACATTAGTTTAAGGAACTTCATTCAAAATGTGTAATTTTGAAGACACAGGATCCCTGAAGAAGCCACTGTCCAAAATATAACTTTTGCTTTTTGTGTTCAGCGCAACGTAAACTTGACTAAACTCTACAGGAAATACAGGAGATCCAGGCGCCAGTGCACAGCAGGGTAAAGTCGAATTTAACAGAGCCAAGTTTGTGATAATAACAGGGTAAAGCAGGCAGGTGGCGAGTGGAATCAGGCACATGGTACTCTAATCTTCTCTATGCAGGCTGTGGTGACGCACTGTGTGGCTGAAAGCAACAGTGCAGACTTATGAAATGGTGGAGGAAGCACAAAACGATGCTCTTCACTGCGCAAAGCATGAGATGAGCAGGTGAAACCAATGATGACGCTTCCAAAGGGAAGTCCAAAGCAGGAACAATCAGTCTTAATGGGATGTTTAAATAACATCTTGGTATGTAACCATGCACGAGTAGAAACCACACACACACACACACACACACACACACACGCAGGTAAGCACATGAGATGCAGCCTCTTACCTCTCCCTCAGCTGGAGCCAAGCTCTCATTGAGACTCCCTACCAACTTTGCATTTAATGAGAGAGGAGAGAAGACAAAGAGGGATGCTGGTCTGACATGTACATATTTGTCTTGTGTATCAAAACTGACTCACACATCAAACACCGAGCATTGATGTCTACTCAGTTTGATCGAGGGCGCCTCCTCATCTCTGTCATCTCCATTTTTCTGATCTGTGGAAGCAATATCCCCTCCATCGCTCACATCTACCCCCATTTTGACTTTCAAAGCGCTTTTGATAACCAAATCATATCTAGACTGATGACTGTAATTTTCTTTTATGATGATGGCGGTCCTGCAGTTGTAATCCAGCTCTCTCTTTTGATTGCCCGTGTTCCGACTCGTTTGATCCCATCTGGCCGGCAGATTACAAACGGCCAGACGGAAAATCATTCAAGTCGAGCTGGGCTCCCCCCCCCCCCCCCCTCCCCTCTTTACCCCCTGAATCCACAGAGGCAGCAGTGACATAATGTCAGTCAATCAGCGACACACAGCAGTGGCATGTTAAACTGAGGCATTACTGTGGCAGCCGGCATGTTTGTGAAGCAGCGGTGTTGTGGAGGCAAGCGTCACGGTTTACTGCGTGAGTGGAATGCATTAGTTTCATTTTGTGTTAAAAAAAACTACAAACATTTAAGTTTATCAAATCAATTGCACACTTTTGAAATGAATCTTTGGAACACAAACCATCACATACGGAGGAGGATAAGGGCCACATGTGAACATTTCTTGAGATCTGACCAAAAGTGACTTTTATTTTTTAGTTCTGTGAAAAGTCACAATAGTGAGAAAAGTCAGAATTCTGAAATTTGTATTTGTTTGAATTCAACACACTATTATTTTTCAACAAGTGTGATCAGCCGTCTATAAACCTTATTTCCTATCACTAGATATTTTGTTTTTAAGTGAAAGACAATACATTTAGGGGTAGATTATTTCTATATGAGGAGTTATAAGCTTGTAGTGACTCGTTACCTTAGCGTGGTGAAGATCCACGCCGTACATGGACAGCTTCTTGGCATTTTCCAGGAAGTGTATCTCAGCTTCGGCAGGTGTCATCGCCCTGATAGAGTAAACAGATCAGGGTAAATAAGATTAGTTATAGCAAATAAAAAGCTTTCTGACAAATGTGAATATGCAACTCTTAAGAGGTAGAGTCCGATAAGATATAAAAACGGGGATAAATCAGAGTATAATTGTATAAAAGCTTTTGGAAAATGGTTGTTTTTTTATGGATGCTTTTAACCAAAGCAAAAGTACTTTGAGTACATCTGTTTTAGCATAGAGGAGTCTTTGGAGAGACATTCATCTTTGCACTGTCATTGCCTTCCTCTATCCAGTGGGCTACACAGGACTGCATCAAATTACCCACAAATCATTGTAATACAGGGACAATGAAGGGCTCAGACAAAATACAGCCAGCTATAAACATCAAAAGGAAAACACAAATCCAACGTCTGGAGACACGCAGTCTTTCAGGACAGATTATTATTCCAGGCTGTAAACATTCCCACAGGTAGACTGGGAGAATCGGGCTGAAAATGGCTAAAAATAATAATATTTTACGTATGAAAAAGGTTCACACATGTGCAACAATGGCTTATTTGTTCTAAAATTGTTCAATCATTGTTATTAAAGGTTGAATGGTGTACAAATCTTTAAAAAGAGATGTAGGATTATCATTCAAATCTAAATACTACAATGTTTCGGGTTTGTTTGCCTACGTGCAGTTATCATGCCACTACCAACTTCATCAAACCAAACCAGCATAGCTCAGATGAAGCAGAAAACCTCCACTTTTAGAGTTTTAAAATGTGATGATTTAGTCAAGATTATTTCATTGATTTACACATTGATCCATCCCTACATCAAAACATGTTAGAAATCAACACAACAACATTTTAGTAAAAGGCCAAGACTCACTTGTAGGTCTTGTGGAGCTCCATGACCTTCTCCTCCAGCTCTTTGGTTTGGTTTGGTGCGAAGCGCAGTTCACTGATGTAGTCGCTGCCTAACTCCTCGGGGTCGTAGTCTCCCAGCTCAGACTGCACTGTGTAGGACCCGAGCACCGTGTGGGTGGCGAAGGAGCAGGGCAGCCGGCCCGACACCACATCATCCCTCAGCTGCAGACACAGGTAGTACCTGAGAGAGGAAGCAAGGCAGAAAACTAAATGGTTATTGTTGAGCCTTGTTAATACTACTTGCTGGCATAATCTGTGGTGTAAATACTGAGCCATCACTTTGACTCTAATCATTAGATTCAAAGTGCACTAATAAGAAGAATTTTTAACCAGGGAAAGTATTTAAAGTGGAACTATTATGCTCTCTTTCAGGTTTATATTTGCATTTTGTGAGATGCTTCCATCCTTTAGTGTTCAAAAAGCTCTTTATTTCTCTCATACTGCCTGTCGCAGCACCTCTTTTCACCCTCTGTCTGAAACCAGAGCCCAGTCTGCTCTGATTGGTTAGCTGGACGGCTCTGTTGTGATTGGTCAACCACTTAGAGATGTCCCGCCCCTTAACCTATCACGTACAATGTGTTGGAGAGCTAGCCAATAGAAGCGTGAGTTTAACATAGTGACGACACTTTGTTACAGAAGTAAACAAAGCAGTCCAATGGAGGTATTTCAGTCAGGGGGGAAGTGTGTGGGAAAGAAACTCCCCCTGGAGGGAACAGTGGGATTTTAGCCTCTGAAGACAATTTACATGCACACAAACCTAAATAATACACCACAGGAAAGGCCCAAAAACCACCATTAGGAAGCAAATGCCCAGCAGCCATCACATATTCTCCTAAATGAGTCGCTCACTGACCTTGTGATGTCCTCAGTGAGCTGCGCGGGGTCTGGAGGGTAAAACTTGACGTTGAAAGCAAAGTTCCAGGGACCGGCTGAGAGGCAGAGAGAACATTAAATTATCAAAGCAGCATTTTATAAATTGCATACTCCTCATTTAGCCATTCAGGACAAAATACTTGAGTGGCTTTATTAGATTACTCACTCCTGATCTGCTTCTTCAGCTCCTTGTTAGGGTCTATCCAGTTCTGCAACACACAAGCACAGATTGTGAATCATCACAAAATTGAAAGCAAATGACTAATAACCATTTTCCGTTTCCTTTAAATTACTTGCTAAATTAGATTTTATAGACAGACTTTACAGCATAATTGCCTCTCCCGTAATTCTGCTTTTATTATCCTTCTTACAAAACGGATTCTTAGCTTTTTTTACTTTTCTTTTACCTTCTGATTCTCTACATCTCTGTATGTGACGCCGAAGTAGTCCCTCTCCATCAGATTGAGGTGGTCGCATACTTTATCAAAGAGCACGTGACCCTTGGCTCGTTTCTGTGAGAAAGACATAAGAAACATATTTAAAACAGGGAACGCTTGGAAGTATTTTGAATAATTAGACATTCAAAGAGCATCATTTTAAAGGGTGAGGCAAAATGTAATCACAATGTTGTTTGCAAAAAGAGTATTTTCCAGAACTTTCTTTTGGTTTATGATGATTTCATGTCAACATTAAGGACTTTTGAATTTTAACAACTTATAACTAGATTATCTGAGATCAGAAAAATGAAAAATATGGGTGGAAATATTGATAAAACTAAAATAAAAAAGCAAGAAAATATAACTGAGTAAAATGACACAATCTGTTGTATTGTGTCATGATGTTGAATCCAATGGCATCAAAAAATAGCACAATCAATAACTCAAAACCAGCTTCTGCCAAACAGCCACATGAAATAGCCTGTATAAAAACAGCGTCATGATGCAGCAGTATCACAGAGCCTCTCCTTCGATAGCTGAACCTCAGAGGCATTGCAGCTTCTTTTGACAAACTGGGCCACTCTGAAACCATTCATTCTATAAAAAGCACGGTAGTATAAATACACACTCAAATTCCCTGAGCTCAAGGTGAACAATTAGCAATGTGAATGCTTAAAACCGATCGATAGCTGAGTGCCGGATGTCCTCAGCTGCAGCTCTGCCGTCTGCTCCACTGGAGGCAGTCCGGCTCTCAGGAGATATTTTAAGGATAGGGGGGGGGGGGGGGGGGGGGGGGGGGGGGGGGGGGGGATACAAAGCTCCTTACATCTGGATTCATTGAAAACCTCTGCCACAGATTATTCTAGCAGCAGGAGCAAAAACACACCTGAGCATCTGTCAGATTCATATGTAGTCTGTGACAGTCTTATATAATATTTTAGAAGATGTACATTTTATTTTCCTCAAACATGTTGGTCAAGTATGTTTCTTAAAGGTCACCTATTGTGCAAAATCCACTTTTTTTTATGTATTTTATACATAAACATGTGTCCCCCAGACACAAAGTAACAGACAGAGAATCAGCACTTTTTAAACAGGGCTGAAACAGAGGGGATTATGGGATGCAATAATGATCTGTTTGGAGCCAAATACTTCAGAGACATGTTTTGTATATATCTGAGACCTGTAATATATTGATGTCAAACAGTACAATAGGGGACCTTTAAGTAAATGTGCTTCCACCACTGTATATAAAAACACAAACCTGCCTGCCATGTATGTAATGGATGTATTTTTTGACACATACAGTAAATAATAAATGTACCCCGCCATCCACTAACACACTTCCATCACTCGAAGCATAACCTTTCCTGTTTTTGATGAGAAACTCTGGACTGTGTGGGATTTTGAACAGAGCCACAAAGCTGCTGGTGGCAGGAGTTAATCCTGCCTAACATTTCTGAGGGAATTAGCAGAATCGTGTCAGACTCCTGCTGTCTACACTGTGACACACACACACACACACACACACACACACACACACACACACACACACACACACACACACACACACACACACACACACACACACACACACACACACACACACACACACACACACACACACACACACACACACACACACACACACACACACACACACACACACACACACACACACACACACACACACACACACACACACACACACACACACACACACACACACACACACACACCACACACACACACACACACCACACACACACACACACACACACACACACACACACACACACACACACACACACACACACACACACACACACACACACACACACACACACACACACACACACACACACTTGTTTAGATTTGGTCACATAGTTGTCCAACAGACGGGCATTTTTATTATGATAAAATGTAAGACCAATTTTAAAGACAATATTGAAAGAAATGCACTTCATATTTTCACAGCATCTGAAGAAAAGGCCAAATCTTATTCTACTTTCACTGAAGTAATTGATTACATGACTAATTGTTGCAAATCTAATTAGAAGACAACATGTAGCATGCATTGTCATGTACTCGAGATGTAAGGACTTATAACAACAACAACAACAACAACACTGTGGGATGTTCTGTCTCCCTCCACTGAGGCAGAACAACCTCTGAAGTGGAGGAGGTTCAGCTGTAGGAAGAGTAGGAAAAGATTACTGCAGACATTTTTCCCACAGGAAATTGAGCTGAGCTGGAAATACAAGGTCGGGTGGATAAAAATGTCAAATCTTGACACTATGGAGCGGTTTTAAATGGGATTGGGAGGAGAAGAACTCTCTGGCAATCATCCCGAGGATCTTCTGACCTCAATTGTATCGCTGTGTCAAACACTGTAAGCTGCTCTCTCAGCTGTTAGGATATTTTAATGTCAAATGTTTTTGTTGCATTGCCTTATAAGAAGCTATGGCAACGTCTCTGGTACGCAATCAACTAATTATTTTGCTTCCTTTTTCATTGTTCCTTCATCAGTGAAGACGTGGTTTCTGTGATTGCGAGTATTGTTCCAGGACCAGCATCATCCAGGTGTGACTCGTGCTCTCTGCATCACCGGCACAGCTTGATTTCCTATTATCACTCTTTATAAAAAATGTTCCTGATTCTGTCACGGGTCGCGGCCGTGTGAACAAATCTGAAGAAATTGCTTTTCAGACAGTGCGGTGTGACTCGCATGAAAGTCTTTCTTAATGTTCCCTCTGCAGGACTGCATTTACTCACTTCTTCTATCCTGGGATTGCTTCTCTATTACACTGCAATCCTGAGGGAGGGTCTGCACACTGGACTCTCAGTTCTCCTTAATTTTAATAGTTATGTATCTTCCCACACAAAGGAATTGAGGTCCTCTTTAGATTAACACTGTATATATTTATTTTAATTCAGCACCTATCCCACTACGTATTTTGGATTGTGCACACAACTAGTCTTACTAAATATAGTTCAATTAAACGTTTTATCTATAAAATATAAAGAAATGGTAATAAAAGAGAAGAACAATTTCCCACTGCCAATTCATTTTTTATAATTAACCTCATTGCATATCAGTTTGTGTGTGGCATGTTTCATAAAGTGACTTAAATGTAATGTATTATTATTAAAATGTACAATTATGATGTTATGACTACAATTAAATTAAATACAAATACAATTAAAAGATATTAAGTACATTTTGTCCAAAAGTGGTCCGTCTGCGGTGGACTTCACAGTCTCCTCTGGTTTCTGACCTAGTGCAGCGTCCAGTGTGTTTTTTGTGGATGAATTCCCCTAAGGGAGGGAGGGGGGGCAGTCCATGTAAACATTTATAAAAAAAACACATACTTTTAAAAGACTTAAAATACATATGTATATGTTTCTCTGCTCCTTCCTCATGCTCTCATCTCCTCTAAAAGCGCTGTAATCCGCGCTCAGTATTCCTCATGTCATGGTGTCAGTGTGAGGGTGAGATCTGTGCCAGAGGAGATTACAGGACAAACAGATGGGACGTGGATTCAATTGTCTCACTCAATTGCTATTAGACACACTTATTTAGTGTAAAGCCGATATTTGGATGTCTTCAGTGTGATTTGTAAGAGAGGGTCACATTACCAGAGATTAGTCACTTTAGTTAAAGTTATTATAAGGATAAACCCCTTGGGGTGTGTGATGTGGATTTGAAAAGGGGCCCCTAATAGATTCAATGATAATTAAGAAGGTTGTTGTGTTCAAAAAGGCAGATTGTAGATTTTCTGTACAGAATAATTGAAACTATTTATTTAGATAATTCAGGAATCTCACTTTCAAATGAAAAATAAATGAAAAAGTTGTTTGTTTAATTATATTTAATAACGTCATTTAATAAAAAATACTTTTTACTAACCAGATTAAGTTGCTTTCTGCTGTTATCCCATAACAAAAAAGCCACAATCAATAAATGGCATTTCATTTGCTCAATTGCAGATGAAGAGTTTTTGGAGCTTGACGGGGACTAAAAGCTTTTGCTGCATTCATCTTTCTATTTATTTGTACAAGTCAATCTCTTAAAACGTAATAAATAAAAAATATATTAATATATAACGTGCATTTTAAAGTGAAAGCAGGTTTTAAGCGAGTGATTTGAATAGTTGATCTTCTATTTTACATTCAGATAAACACACATATTGTAAGTAAATAAATGAAATATTGGTAATGAAAAAAAATCACTTTCTGCATGAGGCTTCAAAATAAAAAAAGCCAAGCAAAGTCTTTCCCAGCTTAGCCTAAATATGCTTTTCTACACTTCCTGCTATATTTTCTTCCTCTCAAACTCAGAAAACACACATTGTCTCGTTGGTTTTTTGTACTTTAGTTGTGTAAAATCAAACTGAAAAAAATCAAAAAGATGGATCAATGTATAGATCAAATTGAAAATGACTGTGCAAACTATAATATAAAATTATTTGTGACACCAAATAATGAGTTATAAACGTATACACAACAATTATTATTGCTGTTGTAAATGCCTATTGCTTGAATCTTTATGTGTAGTTATTTCACATCTTTTAGATTCACGAGTTCTCCACCTTTTGGCCATTTGAAGGGCAATAAGTCCAAAGTGACCCCTAGTACCAGACCCTGTCCTTAGGAAGTCTTCCTCTGCCACAGCGGGACACCAACAGTCATGCCAACACACAGAGTCAATGACACTGATTCCCTCCAACAAATGCTCCCATTTCACAGTCTGAACTGTCTGGGACTAATCCCCCCCCGTCCAAACCCCTGGTGGGGAGGAATCTGCTCCGAAGAGATTTCAGGAGGAGGGTCTGGTACTCCTTGCTTTCTGTGTGCATACAAGTTGAAACTCTAATACTTTGAGAAATGTCTCAACTTTCTATTGCAAACGAGGGAAATATGCCAAAGTGAAATGTCAAATAAGGTCACTATTCAGATTTATTCCTGAATTCATAATGTTCTTAGAGAAAGAATGACTGTTTGAAGGCAGAAAGAAGCTTTTATGTTGGGGAGCTGTGGCACTCATTTACAACAAAAATACATTTTCCTTGACGTGCATGCGCGGGGATATTTCAGAATCCTCGACGGTAAAAACTATAGATAATCAGAGTGTTTGTTCCACTCAAGGCTCACAGTGCAGTTTTTTGGGGGAAAAACTATCCTTATTAAGCTACTTAACATAAAATAAACGCAAATGTGCGGCGAAAAAAACCACCAAATCCTTATGAGATGGATTATTAAAGGGGCCCTATTATGCTAATTTTCAGGTTCATATTTGTTATATCTGTGCCTCTACTGTGGAATGATTACATGCTTTAATGTTCAAAAAGCTCTTTATTTTTCTCATACTGTCTGTGCTGCAGCACCTCTTTTCACTGTCTGTCTGAAACCAGAGCCCAGTCTGCTCTGATTGGTTAGCTGGTCGGCTCTGTTGTGATTGGTCAACCGCATATGGCTATGATGTACAATTCGTTAGAGCGCTAGCCAACAGAGGTGTGAGTGTTACATAGTGATGTGTCCAAAGGAGGCATTCCAGGCAAAGGGGGGGGGGAGTAAAGAAACTCTGTGATTTCAGCCTTCCAGACCATTTACATGCACAGAAACCTATAAACACCCCAAAAAGAATAATAAGAACCCTTTAAAATAGCACACTGGCTGCCACTCTCTAGTGACATTCGTACCTATCTTGGTCTTTTGTTACATTGGCCAGAAAATAACAAATCCATCAAACACTTGACCCTCCTCTCTCATTTGAACACATTATGATTAACATGCTCCAATTCTTCTTTCTGCAACTCAGCCCATTTCCATATTTAATTTTTACCACTTTAGGATAAAAGCCACACAGCTGGGGTGGCGGTGTCGGGCGCTACACATTTACAACACAAAGACACATGTTTTTCCACTGATTATTCCTTTTCCTCATTGGGTTTATTTCTGGATTGCGGATGAGCTTTGAAGTAAGAACTAAACATTCAAGAACCGTCATAGGAATTATTTTTTTCTCTCAAGACTACACAGAGAAGCTTTGGAGGAAAAACAAATCCCACAAAGCAATTTGGCACAAAGCACATTTGCATTGAAATCCATTAAATCCCTACTTCTAAGAAGGGCGGTCAAAATAGCAGATTTGTATTCTATTTTAATTCAACAGGCCTGGTATCATAAGACTGATACACACAGGAGTAATGCGAGCAGCAGAAGGAGACGGTGTTGGCTGTTTAGCTCCTTATGGCAGGGTCTTTGTGGGACACATTCATATTTAATGCTGAAATCAAAAGTTCTGGTTATCTGTCAAACATAATTTTAATGTTTTTTAGTGTTTATCGAAAATGTACTTTCCCATGGACTCCTTCAGCCTTTTTGCAAAGAAAGGTGCTTATGTTTGAACTTTGTGGTCACGGAGCATAATAAGTAAATAAGTATGCCTTCAGACTTCTGAATAAACAAGCCAAACTGCCACTGAAATTAGAAAAGTGAATAAAGAGGCCAATTTAAATTAGTTTCTTCCTGAAAAAAAAGGTGAATTTGCCCTTTGCACATTATATCTGCAGCATTCTTCTAACCCATTACACAAAGCTCACCTTAATGGTCGCGGTTAAATGGACTGGATCGAACTACCAACATTCCAGGTAATGAAAGAACAATGTCTTTTAAATTAAAATTGATGAAACAATCATTAACATTTCATTCAAAGTCTAATTTACAAACTGATGCTGTGCTGCTGCAATTGGAAAAGCCAAGTATGCTGCATAACATTTAATTTCTCACAAGTATCGCTGCAACAAATGATTCATTTAACTGTCGATTCACCTGTCAAGTACTGTCTCGATTAAAAAAAGTGTTGTTTGGTGTATAACATTTTCTAAAATTATGAAAAAATGTCAATTAGTGTTTCCCAAAGCCCAAAATGAACTCTTCAATGGTCGTTTTTGTGCATAAATCTAAGATATTCAGTTTAATGTCACGTAGGACTAAAGAAACATTTAATAAGATGTAACCTTTTATTCTTAAAAATACTCAAACTGATTCATGGGTTATCCAAGTAGTTGGCGATAAAGAACATTTGCAGATTTAATCTCAAATTAAATGCGTTTGTATATCAGTTTACACAGATGTACTATTGCCATATTTCCCTTTAAGCATTTACGACCGTCTTGCAAAATATTAATCTTAAATCTTAAATAAATAACCCAAATAAATGAATAAATCCAAAATATAAACAAAGTACATATCAAGTAAGTTTCCCAGCAGGTATGGAGTCTTTAGCTTATGTATTTAAATAAAAGTGTGTTTGATGTTTGTTAAAATGTGTGTAAACCTAAATGAATCAATGTATGCGCATGAAGACACGGTTTGTACTACATATCATTCAATAAAACAAATATGTTTTATGCTTCCTCTCACCTCCACGTTGACTGAGAAGTCGGAGCCGTCCAGCATGGTGACTTTGCACTGCATGATCTTCACCTTCTTCACCCCTTTCAGAGGAGACCTGGACAGACGGCTGGTGGACGACTGATGGGACACCTGGTCGTCCTCCTGCGTCTCCTGAGAGGAACAATTAACAGCTATTAGTCAAGTGATGCTTGTTATTATTACACTTTTCCACATGATTCTTGCACTGGACATTTTCTCTGCATGTATTTTTGTTGCATGATTGAAAATATTATGCTTTTAGGTTGAAAGTGTTCACAGAGCGGAAATTATAAATACCTCCTGTTCAACTTTTTTTTATCCAACTGCCTCTGACTACTTAGTGTAGTTGTCTGTGACAAAACCAGCAGTTCAGTCACATGTCCAGACCCTAAATATAGAGACTGGGAGTGAATTTAATCAGGTCCCACTGAGAGGAGCTAGAGGTGTGCAGCCATTTTGTCTTAAACTGAGAAAATCCAATTTTCCACTTGGCTGAAAAACAAAGCCCTTCCCGACAGACTTCATGCAAGAAAAGAGACCTTCAGCTTCAAGACATTTTTCATTCTTCCTCCTACACAAAGAGGATTCAATCCCCTGGCATTTTCATTTGTAAATTGAACATTTCTTATCTTGTTTCCAGGCTATATCTATCACATTGTACCTAATCTGAAGTAGCTCATGCAGACCAACTCTCCCTCTTGATCCGTTCAGAAAAAATTACAGGACCTTAGAAACTGAGAACTAAAGTGACAGTATCATTTTAGATTTCATTTAGCTAGAATTTGCATTAAATACCAAAGGATGTATTCAAAAATGTGCAGATGTTTTGTGACTAATAAGAAATTCGCCTTAGTTGACAGTTTTACTACTTTTGTATGTGTGCACCCTGTTGGACTAGAGAAATCTCTCAGTTAGAGCTAGTGTCTCACAGGAAACACAGACAGTGTTGTGTCCGCTTGCTGTGATTTCTCTCAGTCTTGTTCACACATCTCGGACAATGCCAAGCATCATCCGTCATCCTCAGTGTGACGCTGTGAGGGTGTTTAATGTGGATACATGTGAAAAGTAAAAAGTATAGATGCAGATAATGAAAACACCCGAGGGCCCTGGCAGCTCAGCAGGTAGAAGGTGTAGCATTGAGACCGAGTTATTGCTTTATTTCCCGACTCTCTTATGTTCGAAATAAAGAAGAAATGTCCCCCCTTCTTTCCTTTATCTGTCTTTCAAATAAAAGCAACAGTGCTTTCTTGTGTGCCATGCTGGTGTCATGACTTTGGGGAACACTACATAACAAATGTAAATCAATGGGAAATGTGACCCCCTTAAGATACCATTCTATAGTCATGCATCATAGTGGGTAATATTGATAAAAGCCAGCGTTACTTCATATAACAACATCAACTTATAGCTTGATAAAATACATTTTCATAAAACTAAATCGAACAGTATATTTGTAAATAAAACAACTAGACAGGAATGTCTGTTTTTGGCCTTATCCAATGAAAATGAAAAATCCTATACTTAATCACAGTCCTGCAAAAACATCCTGTGAATCTAATAAAGTCCTAAGGCAGTTGTGACCCGATACAACCAGGACCATTAATAAGTAAGTTACTCCAGTATAGCACACATTTCTATAATCTCAAGGTAATATATCTTCTTTATCAGACAGCCCAAGTCATGTGAAGCTTTAATAACTACCAGCATTTTAATATATGTATGTTTGTGTTGCATTACTCAGCATAAGTGATAATGAATCTATCCATCACCTCGCCCTGCGTCTGATGCTCTCTCATTACAGCCCATCATGATTCACGAGTAACTCATGCTCTATTTCTCCTCTTCATTAAACAATTCCATCGTTTTTTCCACCTCGTGATGAGAGCCACACTGCTGGGTCTGAGGGGTTATAAGCCTCGGTCTGCTCAAACACGTGAAAGATCATAAGGCAACATGTCTTAAAACTTGTTTCCACATCTGGCTGTCGTGACTTTTGACCTTTTGATACCTGATATTGGGCTGCTTGTAAATGAAAGAAATCAAGTTTGAATCGAATCCAATGTTGATCTAGTTTATACATGCTTAAGATGTCACGTCATTGAAAAATGATAAGATAGAACAACTCCGAGCTAATCCCTACTCCATGCGGTCTGAATACCTTCATATAGTGAACGGTCACATTTCTTACAAACATATGGAAATTAAAGTTATTTCGTACTCTCTGGGTTATAGCCACAGACAGAACAATGTTTGAGAAGCTTCAAGCTAGTGCAGGTAATTCAAACTTCAATATGTAAGAGATTTGTTTGGGATAAAACTGCACCTTGAACTAAATCAGTACCACTTTTGTAACTGCCAGAAAATTGCAGGCCAATGTTTGCACACACAGCTTTTAACACTAGTAAATAATGTAAAAAGCATGATTCTGCCTCAAGTTTTAGACAGTCCCCATGCAGTTTTGAAGCTCTGGAGATTCATTCAGATTATAGCACAACCAGTAACTGATATTTTTAATCTCTCCCTGTCCACTCACACACTGCCAGCTGTGTGGAAGCAAGCTCTGGTATCGCCCCTCTTGAAAGCTGGTGATCCCACGGAGTTGAATAACTATCGTCCTATCTCAAATCTTTCTGTGTTATCAAAGATTCTTGAGTCCCTTGTTTCTACTCAGCTAAAACTTTTTTTAAATTCACACAACATCCTTAACCCTATGCAATCTGGATTCAGATCAAAGCACAGTACTGTGACTGCCAGTCTGAACGTCTTAGACGATATTAAGGCTGCTTTGGATAAGAAATCAGTTTGTGTTGCATTGTTTATTGACCTAGCCAAAGCATTTGACACTGTAGATCACCACATTATGTCTAATGTTATGTCGGTGTCTCGTTTCAGTCACAATGCCATTTGCTGGTTTCAGAGTTATCTAACCGACCGTACTCAATGCGTCAGGTTGGGTAGTACCGTCTCTGACCCTGTCACCTTGGAGAAGGGAGTTCCACAGGGCTCTATCTTGGGGCCCTTGCTCTTTTTATTATATGTAAACAATATTTGTAATCAGATGCAATTTTCTACCTATCATATGTATGCTGATGACAGTATTGTATACTCATGTGCTCCTTCTCTGGATATGGCCGTTTCCAATTTAAAATCTGATTTTATCACGCTGCAGCATGCACTTCTTGATTCCAAAACTGCTATTGAACAGTAAGAAAACCAAAGCAATGCTTTTTGCTCCCAAGTCAGCGTCCTCCTCTTGCCTCTCCATTGACACCCTTGATGGCGTTTCTGTTGAGTTTGTTGATACCTACAAATATCTGGGCTTTTGGTTGGACAGTAATCTGAACTTTAAACACCATATTGAAGTTTTAACAAAGAAATTGAAATTCACTCTTGGCTTCCTTTTCAGACTTAAATGTTGTTTTTCAATTTCATCCCGTAAAAGGTTGGTCTCTGGCTTATTCCTGTCCCAGCTGGACTACGGTGATACCATTTATAGATTTGCCTGTCCCACTGTTTTGGCCAAACTTGACCCACTTTACTATGCTGCACTGCGTTATATATCAAATGCACCCTATAGGACTCATCATTGCACACTGACTAACTGGATGGTCCTCACTTACTATGCGTAGGATGCAGCACTGGTTTTTATTAATGTATAAAGCCATTTTAGGTAAGCTTCCACTCTACATATGTGTCAGATTTGCCCCAGTTTGCGACTCTTACAACCTCAGATCCAGTGCCTGGATACGGTTCCAGTTACCTACTGTGCGGACTGAGGCTGGAAAAAGGAGTCTTTCTTATTATGGTCCTTGGTCTTGGAATGACCTTCAATCAAGCCTTAAACTGAGGGCACTTGTCTCTATATCATGTTTTAAATTGAAGTTGTCTGAAGTCCTCACCACCAGCTGCTCTTGCAGTAACAAGTAGTGTACTTTTTATTGTCCTAATGTGCACAATGTAGTGACTGCTTTTTCGTCTTTTGTTTTCTTTGTTATGTTCTCTGTATTTTATATGTTTGTGTTATGTGTTATGTGTAACGTTGCTGCCTTCTTGGCCAGGTCAGCATTGAAAATGAGATTTTATCTCAATGTTTTTATCTGGTTAAATAAAGGTTAAATAAAAAAAAAAAAAAAATCTGCAGAGAGATTAGATAGTGAGCCCTGAATGTTGTACGGCCAAAGCACTTTGTGTTCAGATTACATCAGTGTCTGCTTGGGATTTCTCAACGTTAACATGGACAGGCTGTAGTCTACACACCTCTTTGTAACAGAGACCTTTGCATTTCAAAGTTTTTTTTTACTTATCTATAACATAATATTAAAATATATACTATAGTCCACCAGCCTGCAGGAGGATCATGTTTTAAGTAGAATTAAAATAATCACAAAATTCAGTTGTTTGTGTGCAATGTGTGTGTTGGGAAAACTGCATTGCTTTAAAAACAAAAAGAGTAATTACTATATTTTGACTCTCAAACTATTTTAAAACAGTTAACCATACCAGGCTCTCCCAGAACAATTAAGCTTTGCAGACATTTGGTTTGCAGATATACAATCAATGATGATGAGTGGTCTAAAACATTCAGAAAAAACAAAATGCTCATTTCATAGCCCTAAATCTCAAACCATGAACCACTAAAAGCCCTGAGGTTTTTCTTCAGTGACTCCAGTAGTTTACTCATTCCTCCCACAGCATGAAAGTGAATCTGTTCAATCAGCTGACGTAACACTGAGAACAAAAACCTCCCCACTTTGTCCAGGATCTTTTAATGTGTTTTTCAACCCATTAACTGAACAAAAGCACGGAGTACTGAGAGACAGACAAGTTCACTCGACAACAGATGCATCTGCTGAGTAAACGTCATTGTGAACACTGAGGTCATGTCGTCCATATTTATTTTGTTCATTTCCATTTTTCACACAAAGACACAATTCATTCAGGAGCGGGAAGAATGGCCTGAATGTTTTCTCTAATTCAAGCTAATCTGAAGGAACACCAAATTACTGTAACATTACAAAAGTGCTTTAAAAGAAAGAAATGAACGATAAGATATGTGTGTTGAAAGGTGAAGGATTTACATTGGATTGTATCTGTCAATAAGTACTGTAAGATAAAGAAAAAATAACTAATTGTGATATTTCTACTGATATTGTGATTCAGTATGACACACAATAATAGAGGAATTTGCATTATTATTATTAAAAATAAATTGAAACGATCATGGTTAAGCGACCTTGGGTCTCATGAAAGGCGCTATATAAATCCAAGCTATTATTATTATTATTATTATTATGGTTTGATTTTTGAAGAGGATCCGTGCCAAACAAATATGTTTTAATATACACTACCAGTCAAAGGTTTGGACACACCTTTTCATTCGAAGTTTTTTATTTATTAGAATTGTTTCTACATTGTTGTATACTGAAGACATCAAAACTATAAAAGAACACGTGGATTTTTTAACACTTTTTTGTTAACTAAATAATTCCATATGTGTTCTTTCAAACAAAAAACATTGAGTAAGAAGGTGTGTCCAAACTTTTGACTGGTACTGTATTTCTTTAAAAAAAAAAGGGTATGTAGGCCGGGATAATTCTGTAGAATACAATTCATTCATAAATAATGGTATTTTAACACATATACAGCCTTTAACAATTATTGTGCTTCCTGCGATTTGAATATTGCACCACATAACGAAAACATGTGCAGCCCTAGTGTCAGAGACCACTGTCTGGCACTATCCTCCTTCTGTAGGCTCAGCTCACACAGATATTTTAAAGGCTGACCTGCTCTTTCCGGGCGGGGGTGCTGTGTCCGGCGGCGGCGGGGAGCTCTGATTGGTTCTCAGGCTCGACAGGTTCGGCGGCTCCTTTGGCTTTCCCCTTCTCCTTGTTCTCCTGCGGCTGCTTGGCCTCCGAGTCTGCGCCTGATTCAGTTGTCATGGTTAATCACGCTGGAGTGGGGGAAAGAGGGAAAAAGGGATGAGTCAGCTGACTTATTATGAATTGATGTACTGTCGCTTTGCAGCCCAGTGTAATGAGAAGCTCCTCTCTGATGCGTACGCAGAGATGAGGATATTGTTTGACAGCAGAGTAAGAAATGAAATTAATGTAAGTGGCGTTTGCGCACTCAAGTCCCGTTCTCAATAATCTCAGGAGTGTCAGCAGCTGATAATGGAAAGTGCCTAGATGGCTAATGCCCTGACATCCACAGTATCCACGATATACTGTGTGTCATTTCACATAAACTGGAGACGCCAAACGCTCACACCAGGGGCTGCAACTATCATTATCATCATTTTCTCTATGAATCTTCTGTAAAATGTCAATATCTTCCCCAATCCATGCTTATGTCTTGCTTGATCCAAAATACAAAAGAATAATAGGTTTATAATGGTAAATATAATCGAAAATCAGCAAATGATATCATTAGAGAAGCCTCTTGCAGAACATCAAAAATCAATTAAACAGCTAAAAAAATCCTGAAAATATGAGGAATAGCATTCTCCTCTATATCGCCCCCTCCAGTCTCTATGCAAAGTATTTACAAACAAGCATCCAAAGTATCTGAACAGCTCGTGTACATGCCTTTCATAGCATGACCTTCTCCCTCTTGGAATAGCAGCATACCAGCTTCAGATGCCATACCAAGGGCCTGAAACTAGGTAATGAGGGGAAACATGTATCGGCTGGTTTTGCCAAGCGAATATGACGGATAGGACGGATCTCACTGGGGGCCCCTGTGCTAAACCCACAGGCTTAAGACTCTGGGATGCAGGGTTAGCAGGGCGGGGCTACCAGTGACTGGGCCCCTGCTGCCTGTGGTCAGTAGTATGGATGCCTGTCATTCTGCTGTTGGCCTGCTTCTGCCTGACTTCTATTTATAGAGCCGTGTTTACTCCGGGGTGGAAGGATCGCTGACTTCCAGCCGGGGACAGCAGCCTCTGGATCCACTAACTGTGGGCTGAGGTGATTCCCAAAACTTCAGACATTTGAACAAAGTTATTTGCCCTACTTATTAGTATAGGTTTGTTCTGTTGCCATATATTCATTAATTTTCATATATTCATCAGTTTTAGTCTAACATACTAGACTTATAGAAATGTATTTATTAGGATCAAGTTTATCCGATAAACCCCTTGAGATGCACCATTTTGTTTTCAAGGGGGTCCCGACAAAAGCAATGTCTTACAGACATACATGAACAAAATAACAGAAAGCAAAGCATGACAAACAAGGACAAACCACGTACAGTCTGTTAAGTAAAATTCATGAAGTAATACATACAATCATTACAATTCGATAGACAGTAGTTACTAATAGATCAGTTTCATTAATAACAAGAGCAATTGTGTCAAGTCAAATGTGTGTGGCAAGACTGCTATTTTTATATATTAATTGTTGTGCCTTTTTTATTTTGTGTATGAATATATATATATACATACAGTATATTTATATAATTTCAATCTTTGGGACCGTGAGAAACGGCATTTCGGTCCCCCTGTTCGTACCACATACATAGAGAGAAATAAAGTTGACTTTACTGAAAACTACAACTTTTTGAGACAATGGATAACTTGAAAAATTAAGCATAATACATAGAAAAAACACGCATTTTGAAACGCATCAAGCAAGAATTTGCTTTTTGGGGGGGGGGGTCGAGATATTTTGTAAAACGTAATAAGAAACCTGTCTCAGTCAGAAAGCTTGATCACTAAATGTGGCCCACATGCCTGACCCCAGGTGTCCCCACAGAGAGGAACATAACTGGATGGATACACAGCTGGAGTCCATGCTCTCATCAGGCATCCGTGTTGTTATGTTAAATCTAACACTCTGTGACATATGCATTGATAGAAAATACTTCAATGTGAACAGAAATCAAGGTTTAGTAGTCTCCGATAAAGCGCCACAGTTGTGATTATGAGCTTATAAAACAAACATAACATCTTGATTAAATATAATTAGGTTTTACAGCTTAATAAAATGCAGAATGATACAAAATGTAAGAAGGCAATTTTGTGTTTGAACGCCAAATGGTAATTCGTCTGCGCTAATGAGAACTTGGTTTGATTTCCAATGGAATAAATTAAAATTGATTTACAACATAAAGCCAAATCAAGCTTTGCCAAGTAACAAAAACAACTTCAGAAGAGAAAGATTTGAATGATTAAATGGATCAAAATTATGTTGACTCATAAAAGCAGTAAATCGTGACTTTATGCATTTCGGCACTTTCTTTCAAAGGTCATGTACGTAAAGGGGTCACTGAACGCAACATGCCGATTACACTCTTTCTAATGTTCAACTTCAAGAACTTGCGATACAACTGCTGTAAAGATGAGCTAATCTAGATCAGAGTACCGAGTAGCAGAAATGTGAATGAAGCGATGAAGTCACAAGATCCAAATTCCAACCCTCCACGTTTTTCCAAGTGTGGATAACTAACGGTAAAAGACCACTCGGCCAAATTCACAGGAGCCCTCTATCAAAAGCGCTCAGCTACTTTGTTGTGTCATGTGTGGCAGAGTTGAGGAGCGGCTCAGTAATCAGCTGACACATGATGTCTGCACACAGCTAACCTTTGCTTTTCTTAAACCCCCATATGAAACAGGAACTATGGTAGGAGAGGAGGAAAGGAACATCTTAGCACCATAGAAATGGAGGAAGAATACGTTCAGTCACTGGTGACAGGCACTCTTCACAGGGCCACACAACAGCCCACACAGTGGCCTTGTGTGTGGCCCTCACCATGGACTGGCACATACATTATGCATTCAGAAAGCTGTATTCACAATGTTCCGATAGTATACAGGAGCGGCGGATGATTGCACCAATATCGCCTTATCATATTGACAATAAGAAACAGCTAGAGAAAAATATTTTATATCTTAACATCTCTCGAACTTTTGAATAAATAAACACCCGCTTTGCTGCTCTATTGCAGAACAATCTTGGGTAACAGATATACATTTTCCTAGGTCATGAAAGCTTTGACTTTTGCTGACAGAAACAGCTGGTGTTTGGTACGTTTTGGGCAGCAAAAATCCTCAGACACATAAGAAGTAGGGATGGATTTAAATCCAGTATTGACACCAAAACAAATCTTGAAATCCCTCCTAGCCCTTACAAGTACAAGTAACTGCAGGCTAAGATAACAACAACACACAGACAGATGTCTAATCACCTTTTGTTGGATGAGGAGTCGCAAATGCAGTTTTTGCAGCACTATAATGTTCACTAGCTTTAACTACAGTATAAAAATAAGAAGCTGCTACATATAGGTTTTCCATTTCACTATGATATTAAAAATAATGAGGAAAACAGAAAAAAAACATCTTATTTATTAGAAATTCTGGGTATTTTGTAGACTGGGAACCAGATCCAAAACGAAAGCAGCTATCTGAGCGCATCCCTAAAAGGAAGTAGGTCTTCTGCATATGGTTCTTGCATCAGTACATCTAAGGAAGCAGTAGCAGCCACCAGACTGAAGAGACTGCAAAGAATGCAGACACACTCAAACCTTGCCCACAAAACAACACTATATAACCACAAGCACTTTTTGTAAAAGATGTCATCAAATGTATCTCAAAGAAAACCACATAAACACAGCGTTTCACTCGAGTGTGTCCTGATCGAAAACAGGTTTTTCCTCAGTTGCACTTGCAGATAAAAACTGATATTCTAAGAGGAAGGACAAGCAGAAACCATACATCAGCAAAAGAACAATTATTATTTTAACATAGAACGCCTTTTTCTTCTTTCCAATATAAATCAAGGTAACCCTGAATTGAATCAAACCCACTGTCCGCCACTAAACAAACCAATTTAATCAGAAAATCCAATTTAGAAGGACTTGTGAGATTGAAGTGGATATTTATGTGCAAGCTCAGCAAAGGTTTATTAGCAAGTAGCTACATTACAGAATTGATCATGGACACTAAATGCTGTGCATCTGCCACCATGCATGCAAACTTCCATTTTTAAGGTCCATTTGTGATTGTAACGCATACTGTTGGAAAGTGGCCTGTGCACATGGACACACACTCTCAGGAGGATGAGGGGCCGCCATCTGTGCAGAGTGCTATTAGCCGGAGTACCACAGCTGGGCCCATCCCTGTCACCCCTGCCCCCACAACCATAACACCCCTGGGGGCTTACGGAGGTTACACAGAGGGGAATAGTTGGCGTTTTTTGACACGTCCTGGCCCATCCCCAGTGGGCTTGTAGTATATGATGCGACCCCTCTATATGGCTACGGGGCTGACAGCTGTCACACACACACACAAACCCAGACACTGTAACAGGATAGCATGTAGCTGGGCATGCCACTCAGTTGGGACACCTCTGCTGAGGAGCTTTACATCCCCAAAGTGCTTTCAACCGCCTTTTTTTCAAAAACAACAAACACAATTATTGATGGTTCTTATTATGAAAAGCTAATCCATTGTAGGCATCTCCTTTTTAAATATTTATAGTCATTTATCACTTACATAATATGTGAGGCATACAGTGAATGCTTTCAAATGCAGTGACTCATGACAAATGCAACATTAAATCAGCTCTGCATTAGGGCTGCTCAATTAATCTTATTTTAATCGCAATTACGATTTTGGCTTGCAACGATTATGAAAACAACATAATCGAAATAAAACTATTATTATTATTATTTATTTATTTTATTGGTTTTTCAGTTGAATTATACTTAAAGTTCAGGGTAATCAACTGTTAAAAACATACTGTTCAATAAATTGATGTTTTCAAAGTAAATGGATAATCGTTTTTAAGAATCGTGATATCAATTATTGACCCAAATAATCGAGATTATGATTTTTGCCATAATCGAGCAGCCCTACTCTGCATGCATAGAGTGCCACAATAATGGCAAATGGTAGTAATAAGTTGTGCTGTCCCAACAATTTTTTTCCAAAAAATAATATGCTAAATGTTTAAAAGATGCAACACATCGTTGCTAAAAAAATAATTACCTGTACTCATAATAAATAATCTTGACGGTTGTTTATTTTGAATAAATAGCATGATTTTTCTTTTTTTTTTATCATTGAAGGCATTCCTTTTTCTTTAAGTAATTTTAATCGCTTCTTGTTATGGACTGTTGGTCCTTCAAAATAAGACACAATAAGTCAGACTTAAGGAAACCTGCAGTCCTAGAATGAAGTTAAGAAGGTAAAACAAGAAAGACTGGAATTGATCGCGCCAAAATGTAACTGGATTGAAGAGTAGAGGAGGTGGAACAAATTTGACAGCCAACATGTTTTTACCTGATCTTCAGTCCACTCAAACTGGTGAAGCAAGCAACATGAGGAACTAATTATTAGTCTGACGCTCTAGTGAGAATCAATGTTGCCCACTGAAAAAAACGCAACAACAAGTGACTGACCTTCCCAACAAGATACTAATAGACATTCTGACAAAGCTGATAAAGGCATAAGACATGTACAAAATGTTTCTTAATAACATCACAGAGCTTCGTACAGTGTAGTCCTGTCCTTAAGAATTCAAGAAATATAAACAATCCAGATCTGTTTCTACCTCAGTGTTCAGCCAGAACATTCTCCGGCTCTGGTGCAGAACAAACTAAGCAGTTCTGGCAAGTCATATTTCAATTACAGAGAAAACAAAACAGTCTACCAATCAATAATGCAACCCACTAAAGAACATCGTTCAAATGTAGGAAGTTCCTACCAACAGTGATTCAGCAAAACATCCAAGAGCTGATGATTTGTGATATTGGCTATTGCTAAAGCGAAGACTACCTTAATGAAGCTTCTGTGTTTATTCACACTGTTTTAGAGAGGCATCAAGTCCCCTTAAGATTCTTTATACAGAGATGTGTTTCAGTAATTTAGCATACTCTTAGAAATATGGACAAAATAAGTTAAAACAATACAATCTAACAGGACCACAACAGCTTCCAAAATGATCAAAACGTTGAATCAACGTCTCTCTAATCGATTTGAAAGAAAAACGGAACATAATAAACCTTAAAGTAGGATTTATTGTCTCATAAGACTGCAATAGTGTAAGCTTTGTATCGGAGGAAATTGGCAACTGACTCCATAAGCCATTGATCCAATCCACTGCCAAACTGATGGTAATTATTTTCCATAAAAACAGTCTCATACCAGCTAGAACAAGTCGCCATTTCAGAGGCTTTTTTTATCCGCTCCTCATATCCATTTTCAAGGTTTTAGTTTAACCCTTTTAGACTGAAACCAGACAAGACACAACACCACTCAACTGCGGGACTTTGAGGAAGGCAGACCAATCACATGAAGGTGACTCCAAGCTGAGAGCATATTTTGCTGAGGAGGCCATAAATCCAGTCGGCTTGCTGGGTTTACATTCTTAGCATTACTGTCACCGGCAGCGAGGCACTCAGGGATACAGAAGACAGACCAGCTAACCCATTGTTATCCTTACTTGACTGTGCACTTCAATATTCAACAAGATTCTTCGTTGCCATGAATTCTTACAAGACAAGACCAGAGTTGGTTTCCTAGAAAGCCTGGCACAAGCATAAACAATAACAGCTGGAAAACACCTGAAATACTGAAATGTCTGGAGTTAGCATCAATCAATCCAGTTGTACAACCTACTTTAACAGAGGGAAAATCCCCTGTTAATGTAACAGATTAAAACTAATTCCCAGTAGCTTGACGAAGAGCTAATAGCGTCTTATACAGTGGCTGGGATGGGCCAATAGGGATTCATTTTATGAGATTAGCTATAGGTAATCATTAAATCAGCTGTGATTGGATTACTGATAATGTTCACACGAGAGCATAATGTTTAAATTGGTTGTTGACATCAGTTCAGACATGCCTACATTACTCTCACCTGTATACTCATTGGTTCTTTGGAAGTACTCCAACGTAGCCTGAGGTATATACTGTATTCGGTAGAAATAGGGCTGCCACTAATGTTTATCACTAATTCCTTGAAGCCTTAGTTGACATATTCAAATTTCTTGTTAAATCAAACCAACCATAGAACATTTTTTTATATTTAGTTGTATATAAAAGAAGACAAATATACGTAGGAAATAAAGATATACATTCTGAAAAGTAGGGCTGACTTCGACAAAAAACTTAAGTCAACAAACACTCATATGATCTGGTTGACTAACATATTAGTTTCTCCAAAGATGTGCTTATTTTCCTGGATATAAGCCACACAACAAAGCATAACATTGCTGAAAAATAAATTGTAGTACCCTATAGTAGTCGACTCAGCAGCCCTAACAGAGGCTGTTGCTCTTTTGCTTTATACAAGTCCACTGTGTCATTGTGCATTTTGATTATCAGTCAATAAGTTGCTTGTTTTGGATGAGAAGCAGTGACCCTTGTTGACTTTTTACTGAGAAAATCAATAAAAGATTATTCTCCCTTTTACCTGTACTGTGCATGACCCCATTGTGTCTCTGTGGTGCTCAGTGGTAGGTTTACTGTCACCTAATCCTATTATTTGCAGTGTTTCCTTATCAAGGGCTTAAGGAAAGAGGGTGTCGTATGTTCTAGAAATCTAAAAACCCTCCAAGACATGTGTGATTTTGGGCTGATGAAATAAAGCCCATTACAACCTTACTTAGACCTGCAAAGCTACACTATTCAAACAGAATGTGAGTTTTGTAGTTAGATCAAGATCTTCAGCATGTATCAAACAATAACAGCAGTTAATTTTCAGTAAATGTGAGACAGAAAGACAACTATATCAATGTTTGACCACACTGTTATTGTCAATGTAGGCATCAAGAGATACACTCTCAGTGATTAAACTATGAAAGCCTGCAAACAAGGCCCCTGATGTTGCTGCCTTTCAATGCTACTGCAACAACAGCTTACTGTGCATCTTAATCAAATTGTCAAGTCAGACTCCGGCCATTGCATTCCGTGCTTACAGGGATGTGGGGATGCTAAAAGCGGATCCAGACCGTGTCCTCCTGCCCCTTAACCACGCCTACCGCACTGCAGATCAAAAACACCCAAGTATGTCGTCTTAACCTTCCGACAATTTAACAATTGTAATCCATTAACTGTCCTCAAATGTAACCGTGTTTGCTTGGGACTCAGCGCATGTCCTTGAGTGATGAAAACACGGCAGATTCTCGGTTGGGAAAAGCATTTCTGTCGTTTAGTTTTCACCCATTTTGCACTTTCTGCCTCGAAACCGGAGCATGTTAGCCTACTGTACCTAAAGCGGCTTGTTGCTTTGAAATACCCGACTTTTAGCTCCAAAAACCAGCCTCTGCAGGCAAGCCCATTCAGCGTTAAAAACCCACGTCACTACAATGTTACACACCGAAACGTTACAATGCAAAACAACAGGATAGAAAAGGTTATGACCGATGTTTCTGACACGGTTAGCCACGTCTTTTCCGCCTGGTTGAATACAGTAGAAGTGTTTTTTAAATGTTAATTATCTGTCATCGGCCGCGGATGTTGTGGCCATAAGACCCGAATATGTCAAGAGAGGAAATAAGACAGAGCAAACCGGGAAGCGTGCATCTCATGTTAGGCAGCCTAGAGGTAAGATTATAAGAGAAAAGCAGCAAAAGAAAAGGTTTATTACCAGGTAAACCGTCCCTCGTTCGGCTGGTTATGCGAGTTGCATTCGCAGTGGGCTTCTGTTTCCTGACAGCGGTGCTACTCTGCTGCAGTTCCCCCCTCCACCAGCCTATCACACTGCTCTATGCAGCTGAGCAGAATTGTGGGATATCAGGACAGCCGGGCACAACCCCAACACATACACACACATGCACACACACAAACAGAGCATGGCAATTAATGGCACGAGGTTTGTCGTTTTACTGGGAAAAAGGCAGCGCGAGTGAAATGAGGTTGAATGAAACTGAATTATGGAGTGCGTTTATTTATAAACTATACTCAGGTAGAGTTTTGAGATAAATGAGCTTTACTAGAGTATGCAACTGCGTATTGATGAATCATTGTCATCCAGCTATGCCCAGCCAACATTGGCTTACAGTACACCATTAGAGCAGAAACAATGAGTCATTTGATCATAATGAGCCATGATCATAATGAGCCATGTAATTTCCAAGGAAACATTACACATATTCTCTCATTCTTATGATTGTGAGGATTGCTGCTTAAGTTATCAGCATATTTAACAAGGATGAAAATAATCATTATGAACAGCAGCTCTGGATGCCACACATTCATGTAATTTAAGCTACAGAAAAAAGTATTGTTTTATTGCTCTTCCCTGCAAGTGTCTAGCCACAAAGCTACCCTGCTTTAAAAGCTTTGAAGACCTAATGAAATATGATGAATTTACAGTAGATGCTATAGATTAAGCTACTTCAAAGTATACAAAGTAGATAAACTGTGCTCACCTTGGACCAGCCCCAACATAAAGATGCTTCTCAAAGACTTACTAACTGTAGGTACCTTGTCTGGAGCTCTTGGTAATATTCCTCATATTGAAAAACATAATCCAAGACATATTAAAACGAGCCAATATATGGAGCACCAAACACACGGACAAGCATCTGCTGCCCTCCTCGAGCTTGTGGTTATTCGTGCACAAATACAGACATAAAAGTACGTTTTAAATTAGTGTCTGGGTTATTCCCTCTGGGGCTTTGAGGGTTTGCCTCCCGCCTCTCAGTGGGAACTTGACCCAACTCGGTCACCGATTTTACTTTTATTTCATCTAATTGCTTTCATGCACAAGTAGTATACCACATGCTAACACTTACAGGACATTATGCAAATATAAACACACAGTCAAGCTCAGTACGGAGAATTGTTTTGGTCGTACTGTCGTGCATGGATTCCCTAAATGGGGACAGACACACTGCAGGCTTTACTGATAGTAGAGGGTACATTTAATGACACACACACAGTGCAACTCTTATGTACAGCAGCCCCACATCTGGCTCCTCATTCAGCCTCTAGCTAATTGAAACACAGCTCGTAAAACAAGCTCGATGACAACAACAATGAATGTTTGACATTGAATACATATAATTCACATTACAATCCGAGTTAAATTAGCTACTCTCCTAAAAACACCAACTTTACGAGCCACCACCAGTGCGAAAGCGAGGTTAAGAGCTGCGGTAGCTCAACAATAGATGTAACAAAATATTCCTGTAACCCTCGATCCTGGGAGGAAAAATAATATCTGAGGAGGGCTGTCGGGAGGCGTTTTTTAACTGGGTAATAACACATGGCAGTGCAGAGTCTAATGTGATAGCTCTAGTAACCATAAAAGGTTTAAGAATGCGTTTTTGCTGCGGTGACAATAAGAGGAGAGGCAGCCTTACAGGTGCAATGATCACTATAGTGAAAGACCTTGTGATCTATGAATTTTACACACTGTTATTCCACCATTTCACTTCCTTCTTAATTTCTTGGTTTTAAAACACAGACATAATTGTACTATCTTGGCTTGAGTCCCAATGTATTAACACAATATGTCTCTGTTAAAATACACACTGTGCATTAGGCACTAGCAACTAACTGTGATGTCTGCACAGCCAAACAATAGTTATCTGTATTTAGAGCAGGAGTCTGGCGCAGTATTGTCGTGACCAGACTGATCGTCTGAGACATTGCTCATCATGGTCTGCCTGGCAAGAGGGAGGTGACTGTGCGCCTGTAATGCAGTAAACAATCTGGCCAGAATGTATTACACACTAGCTTTACTCCAAAAGGAAAAACTGATGTTAACAAACTGGAATTGTTAAACGTGTGTCTGATAGCAGTGGACCTTATAAATGAGTCATTTTTCTGCTTCAGATATTACGTCAGGGCAAAAGACAGAAAAGAGAAACACAAGACCAAAGGCAGCATTTACTAACAGATTTAGTAAACCCTGCAGAACTAATGCAATATAACCAGTTGCAGAATTGGTAGCAAGGGGCGAAAAAAATGTGGTGGAGCACCAACAAAGTGTTATAGTCTGTAGAGCAGCCGGCAGTATACAGCACAGCATGGCTTCCTTTTTTATTTAAAGGCCACCCTAGTGGGCACTTTTTAAAAGTTTTCTACACTGAAATGGCATCTAAGAAAGCACTTTTGCAAACATGTTTTTTGGGGCACCAAATTTTATTGGATTAATAATCCACCAGTAAACAAGACTCAAAAAGCAGAAATCTAAATTCAGTTTATTGTGATGAAAGAAATTTGATCTTGTGCATAACGGTTCATAAATAAATACAGTAAGAAGAATGTATACACAAATGTAGACATCTTAAGAAAGCTATTGTTAAAACTATAATAACATACAAAATATTAAAGCATACTCTATTTAAACTTTAAATGATGAAGATCAAGGTGTAATATAAAACAGGAAGCATGCAACAGATTTGCCTAGTGACCAAGCTTAATGCTGACGAGTTTTATTGTTTCCTGTCTGATGCAAGTCAAAAGGCATTGAACTTTGCTTTCACATGTTTTGAGATACAGTCTTTATCTTTCTTTTTAGTCCATGTAATATGTTGATAATGACATACCTCTCCACTGCACAGGAAGTGCTATGTGTGTTTGGCTGACATACGACTTATGGGAAGTTAAAACAAAATGAAATGGTGTTACAGATATTTGACACTTTAAGGAAATGTTGGCAATAAAAATGAAATCAGACCCACACCTCCTGAGAGTTATGTGCCATTCTGAGCTTTTACTGTCTGAGTTCTCCCTCTCTGTATGTATAGTGACTTGCAGATAAGTGTCAGAGCTAATCTGTGACTCTTCAAAGTCTCCAGAACAGCCCTTGGTCAGCAGAATGATTAATACCACGAAAGACCGACAACATGTGATCTCTGGACTCTACTCAGCTTATGTGGCTGCTTAACTCCTCACTTTTTTCTGCTGCGTACAGACACTTAGTTCCTGTGCAGCTCATCTGCTCTGAAGCTTGACTTTGAACTGGTGTAACCTTGAATTCCAATGTGTTTTCTCAATTATTAGCAGAAATGGGGAAGTTCAAAGTTATGTTTTCCTTTTCAAACAAAGATTATTAGAAATAGTACCAGTGAAAAGTGAAGTTGAATTATACTGAGCTCCTGCTTACACAGCAAGTTGGCACTTTGTGATGAATTTAAATAAGTAGAATGGATAATTAGTGTTTGGGTTGAAAAGGTAATCCTGGAGGCAAAGTGGTAGGGAAAAAACATTTTAATCAGCAAATCCCTGTGAGTATGAATACTTGTAAACACTCAGTCTGTAACATGAGTAACCTTATGAACCTCATTACAGTAATCCAATTTAAAGTGCTGCGGTCAGAACAAGCAGGCTAGCACTTCATCAATCCATAATTATATTGAAGCATGTCTCTAACAATACATGGCAAATCACCCATGTGATCTAATTAGAAATAACAAAAAAGCAAGTCGAGGCCAGCATTCCCCATCGTCCCCGGGGTCCGGAAGAAAGTAATTACTGATCAAAAAGGTTTTAGATGTTGTAAATTGCATTTATTCAGGCTATGTTATTCTGAAATAAAGTCATTTCTATAATAAGAGCACTCTCAGGCAACATTTTAAGTTATAAAAAGTGCCATTGTCCAATATATGAATGCACTATAGAGCATGGAGACTTACTGTTCATCATCACATTGAATACTGTTTGACAAACTGGTCATTTGCTTGTGCCACAAACCTTAAACCGATAGAACAGCTGTACAAGAGAGCTATCAAGGTGTTTGACAGAAAGCCTTATTCATACCAGCACTGTACCATCATTGAAAAACACAATTTCTTGAGTTTTGACAATTTTAAGTCTTTTAAAAGCATGTGCTTTTTTTATAAATGTTAACATGGACTGACCCCCCCCCCTCCCTTAGGGGAATTCATCCACAAAAAACACACTGGACGCTGCACTAGGTCAGAAACCAGAGGAGACTGTGAAGTCAACCGTAGACGGAGATACGGGATTGTCCCACTCTCAATAGCTTTAAAGGTCAACTCAAAGAATGGTTGAGAAACAACCAAACGTGCAATCACCGCTAAATGCACTTTAACACAGGGGTATCTCCTCTTGCACTTTATGTATCTCTTGTATCTTCTCTTGCACTTTACATGTCGTTGCTGCTATAGTGTACTGCCATGTGGTAAATACTTGTGTGTGCTGCTCTTGCTCTTTTGCACTTATTGCATATCATGTATTTGTCTTTGCTATGTGTATAATTGTCATGTTCTTAAATGTTTTATGTGAGGGACTGCGGATGGAAATTAGCTCCAAGCTAAAATCCGGCATATTTACACTATTTGTATTTTCTTGTTTGAAGTGTTCATTAATGTGCATTGTCCCTGCTAAATAAACGATTAAATTAAAATGAAAATATTAATTGCCATTTTTTTGTATCACACTTTGAACTCAATGAACTCAAAGTGAATTGGCTCCAGCTAAGCCTTGTTCTTCGTCTCCAACTAACAAAAGCTACTGTCCCCTGCTGTCCAGCTCGGCTGTAACTAGGGTTGCAAAGGGGCGGAACATTTCCGGTAAATTTCCGGTAAATTTCCATGGGAAGTTAAGCTGGGGAATTTGGGAAATATTCCATATTGGAAACTTTCCATGGGAATAATGGGAATTTATGGGAACTAACTGGGAATTGAGGGTAATGTAATCGAATTGCATCATATCCAAGCATAAATATATACATGTTGTTTTGTCATAAGAAAACATCCATGCAAAATGATACAATTAAAAAACATGACATTTCAACAGAT